ATAAAATAGCACACACTGTTTATTATGGTCTTGTGTCCCCAAAATACAATGGTTTTTGCATAATTTTGTGCTTTCTTGGCAGCATGTATGTCTGCATTTTATCTCTTTTGTTTTGCATATATTTTCATCTTTATCATATAAGTCGGTAAAACTGAATTTAAAATCGTCTTTCAGAAATGTTGCAATTTTTCCAAATTTTGATTAGAAGAGCTATGAGATTTTAATTAGACGTAGAGAGATGCGACAACCTTTTGGGTTGCCATGTATAAAAAATATCATAGGACTTATTAAATTCTGATTGCTGTTAGAAATGTATGCATAATAAAATTAAAAGGTTGTACTGATATTTTAAATTGTTACATATCCCGATTAATAGACTAATCCAAATTCTTCAGAAAAAATATTTAATCTCTCTGACTCGCAGTAATAACATACTGCAATTACAATAACATACTATAATTTGAATATGTTATTACAAAATATTTAGTAAAATTGTTTTAAAAAAAATTGAAACAGATTTTTTTTCCAAAATCAATTATTTTGTTAAAACAAGCAGAAAGTTTTTTTGAATCATTTAAATCGGACGCTGGACGCAAAGGTAGGCCCAGTTCGAACATACTATAATTTGAATATGTTATTACAAAATATTTAGTACTCAGTAATATATTATTAATTTTCAGTTATTTTATGTATCCATGGACGTAATCAGGAGTACAGATGGTGATTCGATGTGACCAATTTTTTTTTTATTTTTAAGTCAATTGTTTGAATTTATATTGAAATAAATAGGTTAATTTTTATTGAATCTCCATTTAATTTTTGTCAATTTTTAGATTTTCATAGTAAAATGCTCATTATTAACCCTTTTCACTCGGATGCCGCCCGAATTTTGTTTTTTTTTTACTAACATAAATTCTTAACACAAAAGAGTTGTATCTTCATTTTTTACTTTGTTTATAAGTAAGGTATCTTTTAGAGGCATCAATTATTTTTCTTATAAAAAATTTTTAATATTAAAAATATCTTTATTTTAGAATCCAAAAGGAAGAAACAATACATTTAAACATTGAACCAGCAATGTTTGATAAATTTAATACACGTTTCTATTGGAATTAAAAAAAAAATCCGTTTAAAGAATTTTGGTCACCCCCATGAGATGATGTAATAATTTCATGCAGTTTAATTTAAAAAAATAATAATTTGGGAACTGCGGTGTAAAGTGTGAAAATTTTTTACACTTGACCTAATGCTCATCAAATTACAAATTTAAAAACCTAAATATGTATTATGTTTGAAAATGTAAATTAGAAAAAAAAAATGATCTAAATAAGAATGATTTAAAAAAGCAGAAAATATTTTTACAAATTAGATGTAAATTATATTTCAATTTATTTCTCAATACAGCGTTTTGGTTTTTTCCAACTCGCATAATCCATAATTAATAGGCAAAATTGTGTAATCAAATAATACATTCAATATATTATTATTTACAGATTCTTATCAGATTTCTACTTAATAAATCTATGTCTAAATAGCAAATAACTATAGTGCGTAGGCTTTTAAAATTGCATTGTGTGTACATATTTCAATTTCGTAACAACTAATATGTTCTTTGAGAGTCAATATGATAATACTCCATATGGTACGCCGATCGGTCATATGTTACAAAACCGGTTCCATGTGTGTCTTTTTAGTTTAGTTTTCGGTATCGGTCTGGACCGGTCAGGTTTCGGTTTATTTTCTTATGTTATGTATTTCCAGTCTTGGGTGAGATAAGTCCCAGCCATCTCTGGAAGAAAGTGAAAGTTTATATATGACATAATCGTTATCGATGATTATGGGACATTGCGTTGTATTGCCTCGAGACGAGAAGAGTGTTAAGCAGTTTTTTTCGCAGATGACATGATTAATTACCATGTTGTGTCAAATACAGATACGAATCAGGAAAATGTGATAGAGAAAATACCGTAAAAAGTTAATTAATTTGTATGCTTTTTTATTTTCGAAGAAGCTTATGTTTCCTTCAGAAATCTCGAACATGACATAAGTTTTCTTGACTTTTAAAGTCATTTTAAATCATTTGTAATTATCGATTTAATCTATAATATATTTTTTATTTTTATATGATCCACCTGCCTATCTGTCTGTTTACTTGTCTACTTGTGAGGCCCGGGCCTAGGGCGGCACAATTTGGGAGGCGGCAAATTTTTCCGATTTTTTTTGTCACGGCAATTTATTTTAAGGATTGATCTTGATCTAGATAAATCTCTATGAAATAGAATGTTATTCGTTTTCTAATCAAACTTATTCAAGGGCGCCTCATTAATATTTTTAGTGATGTATCATGTTTAAAATAAAAATTATCAAATTAATAAGCTTTTTTGTTCGAAATAAAATAAAATAAAACTAGTGGGGTGTATGGCATTGTGCCTTAAGGCAAATTGCTAGAACTTCTCGTACCGTAACGAAATGTTCGAAAAATATTAAATGTTTTCAAATAGATTATTACAAATAAATACTGTAACATTGTATAATATTTATAAGAATTATATAAACTGAATTGCAAAGTTGAAACTATTTTATAAAGTATATAAGTGAGCTTTGAAACTTTAGTCAGAATCAAAAATAAAATCTGAATTATTTTCGATATATAAAAAAAATTGTTTTAAAAAAAATTGAAACAGATTTTTTTTTCAAAAATCAATTATTTTGTTAAAACAAGCAGAAGGTTTTTTTGAATCATTTAAATCGGACGCTGGACGCAAAGGTAGGCCCATCGGTTTCGGAGATACAGAGCTAAATGTTAAAAAAATTGCAGTTTTTAAGAGAACTAAGCGTTCGATTTAAATGATTCAAAGAACTTTCTGCTTGTTTCGCCAAAATAATTGCTTTTGGAAAAAAAAAATTTGTTTCTATTTTTTTTTTAAAAAAATATTTTTTTGCTTGGAATTATTTGCAAATGCGTTTAGACTGTGACTATACGGGAGCACTTTTTCAATTTTGTGTAAATTAGGCAACTATTTTTTTTTTTTAAATTGATTTATGATTTACAGCTCAGATATAACAAGATAGCAAAAATAATGAAAGTTACAGTATCTGTAATAATATATTTGAAAACCGTTTAAATTTCTCGAATATTCCATTACGGTACGGAAAGTTCCAGCAATTTGCCTTAAGGCACGATGCCATACACCACTAGTTTTATTTTACAATTATATATAAAAACGCACAAATTAATAAGACGAAAATACAAATAAAAACGTATTTAATACAAATAATACTTCACAATCAAATCAAATATATGAATCAAACAGAACTAGATGCAAATATTAGCAGTAATAATTTCGACCATATCGCCACGAAGGTTGAATTATGACTGATTGTGAGGTACAATAAACTTTTCGTATTGCACCCTCTATGGTTCCGAACCCGAAACTATTCAATTAGATAACAATTTTAGAATTTTTGAATTTTAGTATCATCTGGTAACAATTCATAGTTTTGTCCCTTTCTGACCCCAATAAAAAAGATGCGCAATAACAAATAAAATCATTCTGTATTTGGACCTCTCGGTGGACACTAGTCAGTGGTAAGTCTTTTAAAAAATATTTATGTATTATGTAATCATTTCGTGCATTCAGTTTCAAATACGTGTCTTGGAACTTGGGTTTTGATTCGATTTGACTTGATTTTCTGTTGAATTATAATTATAAGAATGTAAATAAATTGAAGTAAAAATTCATCTCTTTTATATTAAACGATTTGCGTTACATTTTCTAATCCAATATATTTGTGCTGTAGTGTCGCCTTAGTGTTTATTGTTGTGAAAATATTTAATTTTAGCATTTGAGTTAACATAAATAATTTGATGCAATCTTTGGATTATTAAATTTGAATATAATTAAATAATATTAAATTTTAATATAAATCTTATCTTTCAAATATTTACGATTGACTATATTTGTTTTGTTTCAGATTTCATACAGTGTTTTGCGCAGTGGCGGATTGCTTTAGGGATTTATTGTGCATGAATTTTTTTTTATTCAATCACATTTACAATTTTTAATTATTTTTTATAATTTTGTTAAATTATAATTATGAGTTATTTGCGTCCACATTTTAATTTTTTTTTTGTTCGTGCGAGGACTTATTCGTAATTTTAATATCGTTTAAAACGATTTCCGCGTTTAAATGTGTTCCTGTCGCCTACCCCCCACGGCAGGTTCTAGTAATTCGCGTTTCGTTAATAATTTTTTTTTCATTTGGTGTATGGGTCCTTGCGATGTTTTTCCCAGAAGCAACGCAACCCCATACACTTTAATTTATAATTAGTATTATTTGTACAATGTTTATTTTTTGGAATTATTTTATTAGTAGCATGGATGTAAATAACTAGTCTAAAAATCAAAAATTTTTGTTAAATAAATTACTTGTTTTTATTTTGACTGATTTTTCTACCGTAATGCAATGAACATATTTTAATTAAATAATTTAAATTTTTTGTGATTGCACAATAAGTCTCCTAAACGGAGAAATGTTGAAGACGTACTGTTTGAAGTTAAAAAAAGTATGATGATACAAAACCCTAAATTATGTAAAAAATAACAAAATTAACATCTATTTTAGTGTAAATGGGCCTCAACTAAAGATACCAGGAGGTAGAATACTCCAACAACGAACAGGAGAAGATGTGTACCTATATGATGCACCAGAGCACTAGAATGATTACAAGCAGGTTGCCACATATAGTATTTATGATTCATCATCTATTCCATGTTCTCAAGTCACTTTTCATTTCAGGCATGCAGAGTTAAATTACCCTTCATATTTGGGAGTGAGATGCTAAATATACCAAATAGCAATCATTGCACTCTAACAAGAGTACCCTTAACCCTTTCAGTTCACCTCAATATAGATACGTACAGGTTTTCTTAATTCATAAGTTAATATTAAGTAATTAGACCTTAGTTAGATATAAGTATAAAATATTTTTTTGTTACCGGGGCCCCGTTTGTATGTTCGTCCCTATTTTTAGGGGCGCTTGTGTTTTTTTTATCTCATTTCAGATATCTTTGCAAGAAAATTGCTTACCAAGCATACAGGTACTACCAAAAAAAACTCTACCGAATAGAAAGATATGTGCAAGTGACTACCAAGAACTACTTCCACAACCCATAGGAGGACATGGTCAGACCAATTGATGTACCAAGACACTAAAATTATTGGCATACTGCTAAGTAATATGTATAAATCTTTTTTCTTTATATTTTCTAAACCACTTTTTATTTCAGGGTTACAGAATTAATTTCTTTTCGCACCACAAAGCACCAGGACTTCTAAATACCTGCCAGGAGGATACGCATATTTAAAGGTTTTTATCCTATTATTGTTAATTTAACCTTATTATTAGTTATGAGCATATATGCTTTTATTAATATAACCGGAGCCCCGTTTATTTGTTTGTCCCTATTTTTAGGGGCATTTGTGTGTTTTTTTTTTCATTTTAGATGTCTTTCAAAGAAGACATTATATTGTATGTCTATATGTTTTACCAAGATATACACGAACCACCAAGAGACCACTACCGAATTAAAGGACATGTGCAAGTGGGTACCAACAATTACTTCTGCAACCCATACGAATAAATGTAATGAAATTCTATGTTTACCTCTTTTTAGATCTTGCACGAGATTTGGCAGAAAATATTAACTCAAAACCAACTAGCACCACTACTACTACCTGAACTACCGCCTGCAACTGAATTGGATGATATGACATAATCAAAAGGAAAATTAACTGTGAGATAAGACTTTTTATTATTATAGTAGTATTTAGTTAATATCAGGTTAAGGGACGTTTTGACATTAAAATCTTCGATCGTACCTTTTTTGGGGTTGTTCGCGTACTTTTATTCAGAGCTCAAAAGGGTGGCGTCATGAAAGAACTTCTCTTATATTTTTCGCGCTTTTCTTTACATTAATTAATTAATTATCATTTGTCATAAACTTCATGGGCTGGGAACCTATGAAGTTTTTTTCCAAGTGTTTACATGGTGGATCTGGGGGGTACATCATGTAAATGCTCTTTTTTATAAATTTACAATCACCGCTAAAATACTAAAGTACAGATTTTATATTGATTTTTTTCTTTACCACGAGAGGTTCTTTCATTTTTAAAAACCGAAATTTTTGGGTACATTAGGTCATTTCGCGGTGGTTCTTCTTTTCGCGATATATTCGGGTCAGTTAGGTATAATTAGTTTGTAAGTTAGTTTAAGTGGATTAGGGCTGCAGAAATCGATACTTAGTAGTATTTACACTATATCCATTTCCATCTGAAATGTTAGAAACGTAAATATGAATAGAAGTATCTATTTCTGTGGCGACACCACATTAAAAAAAACGCGCCTGGCAACTTTACCCCATGGGTGGTGAGGAAAAAAGTTGCATCCTAATTAAGTACATATAATTATCAAAAATAAAATATTTAAATAATTATATTAATTAATAAACATAAATGTGTCAATATATATATGTGCGCATCACTGATAATTATGTAATATCGAAATATCTTAAAATAAAATTTTTGCAAAATAATCTTTGCTTTTTAATATGTGATTAATGCTATTTTTAATTGTTTTTTCAGAACTTCATGAAGAATTATTAGATGCTTTCAAAAAGAATATTGTCAATAATTATTAATTTTGAATTAGTTGAAAAAATACTATAAATATTACAATGCGAAGAGTTATATGGTTTTTGATAAAATATATTTTATCTCTTCGCATTGTAGTATGTATATAGTATTTTTTCAACCTCTAATTCAAAATCAATAACTATTATTCTTTTTAAAAGCATCGAATAATTCTTTAGTATATGTGAGATTTAAAACTTTAGTCAGAATTAAAAATAAAATCTGAATTATTTTTAATATACACGAAAAAAATTTTTTTGAAAAAATTTTGTTAAAATAAGTAGAAAGTTCTTTGAATCTTTCAAATCGGACGCTTAGTTCTCTCAAAAACTGCCATTTTTTGCACATTTAGCTGGGTAACGGCTGGACCTGCCTTTGCCAAAATCTAATTACCACTTCTCCCCATCATTACAAATTGAATGTTTTTTAGATCATTTAAATTGGATGCTTCGTTCTCTCAAAAACTCGATTTCTATTTTCTGCACTCTTTGCTCCGTAACTCCGAAATTACTATTTAAAATTACTATAACTTACCCAACGCAAAGTTAAAAATTATATCTAAATAATTTAAAATAAATTGTTTAATTAAAAAAGTAAAATTTTGTCTATTAAAAAGGGCGCCTGAACGGATAGGGCCTAGGGCGGCAGAAAGCTTAATCCGCCACTGTCACTACTGCTTGATATCGTGCTGTCTGTACGAAGGATTAAACCAAAATTGAATTAAGTTTGATTATGAAAATATAAATGATCAAAAGAGTTGGCATGCAATTAATCATGTTATATAAAACTTAGATATACCAATTTATCATTTATATTTTTTCATTTTCATAATATTTAAATTTTTATTTTAAGAAAGTGCTGGATACAATTGATGGTTTGAGATATATGGGTGATATTAATATCTGAATATATCTAAATAATATAGGAAGGCTTAAAATAGAGTTAAATTGCATAAACAAATACAGTTATTAACAAAAAATTATATCTTGCTGATTGTTAGTCAAAAATTTGCCTTTGGAAATCAACCAATAAAATTAAACTTTGAAACCAATGACCATCATTCTTGTGCCAGAAGAAATGAATAATATTTTTGCAGTGACTTCATAATTTGAAACAGTCAAATCATAAGTTTAAAAAAAACTTGAAATATTATTTTTAAATCACTGTAAACAAATGCGCCGAGCTAGAATGAACGCACAGGCTATAAAAGATCGGGTCTTTAAACTTTTAAACATCCTTTTGCCTTAGCAGACGAATGCAACTGGAGGTGGAAATTAGTAGGTAAATGTCGATATAAAACTGATTTTTCGATTCAAGAAGAGTCAAGAAGTCAAAATTTAAATGAAATATATTTGCTGAAAATTTTGGAAAACTGTATAAACTTTAGTACACTCGGCATACAACAAAACGTACACTTGGATATCTCTTTATACTTCTACGTAAGAATTGCTGTATAAGGAAATCTATTCACTTCCTTATGAATAAATTAATAATGGAGAAGTAATTAAATTAAAGAATAGTTCAATAAATAAACCCTGTAGATTGATGGCTTGTATACTATTCTAAGATCATCACAAAAATTAGTTACAAAAACATAGTAGTCCAGTCATTATAGTAAGTTCACCTCGGAATTCGAGATACCCAGCTGTAATTCTGTAAATACTGTATATTTACACCTTAAAGTTGTCTCAAAACCTACATATGGTATTGACACCTTACCATATGTAGGTATTTAGTAATTTACAGACTTACAGCTGGGTAACTCCAATTCCGAGATTCTTACCTAATTTAAGCTTAAATGACTGGACTATCAGTAAGTATAAATTAAATAGTACACAATAAACATAAATAAAGTTGTTTTTAATCAACTTTCAAATACGTGGTATTTTTAATTATTTTGATATTTACTACTACAAACTGAAACAAACAAATCCTGTTGAAAGAATGTTCAAAATTCTTCTATTTACCAAAAATAATTGACTAAACAAACACAAAAAATAATTTTATTTTTATTTATATTCAATTGATGTAAAAATATAGATCAGCAATATGTTTCCAAGTGAAAATAGCTCTTCAAACAGATTTTTCCAACAAATTGAAAATATATCATTCATATTAGATGAATTTTAATAATAAAAATATAATAAATGTAAATAAATACCTAAGAACTTGATTGGCAAAATGCTCTGATATGATGAATGCCTCTCCATAGAAAGAGTTTAACTTCTTACTTTTTTATATATAATATTTAATTCCGTCTCTGGCGTTTTTGGTTTAATATATATATACAAAATTCTGTGATTGACGATTATACTCGTAATTTTTAAATAAAAGTGCCACTCTCAACTGGTTAATATCGAATTAGCTCTTCCTCCACTAACGGAGCGCAATGGTGCGATTCATTCGATTATGAGAAAATAACATAAGGCTTCTTTTCATGTGCACGCCTGCACGCTTTTGTAAACAAACATGACAATTTGCTTACAGGCCATATGCATATGGTCGAGATTAAACACAAATTCAAAATTCAGAGAAAAATATCATCTACGTAGTAAATTCAACCTTAAAATCATAAAACTGGAAAATTCCGAAATTATGTACGCCATGGCACGTGCACGTGCAATATGAAGGGAAATGGTAAGAGATCAGATTTCAGCATTTTGAGAAAGGTTTAAAAAATTATTATTTCTGGCTTTTTATATTCTAAACATAATTCTTTCGTTGTTCCTTTTTTTTAGAATATAACAAAAGACAACAAACGAATTTGCTTCTGAGATAGATGTTTTTGGTAAAATATAAAATTATAAAAAACAAAGCTCCTCAAATGATGTTATAAATAGTGTTTTGTAGGTTTTATCAAGTGTTTCATATAAGTAATTTTTATTTAGTGTTGAATATTTTGTTTTGTTCTTTTTATTAATCTTTAGCATATACACTATATAATGTAAATCTATTGTAATATTGTCATGGGCGTTAAATAAATAAATAAATAAATAAATAGAAGAACAAAGTTGTAAATTGGTATATCATATTTTAAATACCATGGGGGCATCGATTTTTCAAAGCAAGACCCGTATCGTTTGTGCCCTTAAAAATATAAAATTTTGAGCGTATATCTGCTTATCTACTTACCTACATAACCAGTATTTTCAAAATAATGATTACTATAAAATTTCACTATATATTTAGAAACACTACACTAGATAAATAAATACAATTTTTTTACCACTCAATTATTTTATTTTTACTTTAAAGTATCTAATTGAAAATCAAAACTGATATAAATTGAATAAAACAATATTGTTCATTCTGTTATCTATATTTGGACCAGAATAGTATAAAAATGCATTATTATGCATTCGCATCGGTAAAAAGATATGAAAATTCATTATCTAATAATTTTTAAATGTAACAAATAAATTCAAAGATTATTTAAATATTTTGAATACTATGATAACGAGATCTGAAAAGCAAAAATTATTAGATAAATTGATGGTTCGAAAAAACTCATCTTTTAAATAAATTATTATCACACTTGTACGTTTTTGATATCACTTTTTTTTCAATCAATATTGATAAAACCTGGCAGCTTTTTTTATCTTACAAAAAAAATTGTTATACATAATTTAAAATTGCTTTAAACTTTAATATACGGCAGAAATAAATTTAGGTATTATTGTAACTAAGTATTTTAAATTATGTTTTTCAATGTCCACAAATCAAACAAATTGCATATAAAATACACAATGATATCAATTTTTCAGCGTTTTCGTTAGATTGCGGCGCCGAATTGCTGACAGATTGCTTTTGAATCGATGCCGGGCGGAAAAGGTGAAAATAGATGTTTGCAATCTTTGCACTGTTCAAAAATGGTCACAAGTTGCAATTTGCAACCCCATAGCGGCGCAATCTATGTTTTAAAATTTAAACCATGCATTCCGTTAATTCTTGACTTTCCGTTAGTCGCGTAGTTCATGTTTGTCTCTCGATGTCAAAGTGACATCTGTCAATCTGTCAAACTTTTCTCTATGGTTCGAATAAACGTCAAATGGAAAATAAATGAGAAATGTCATTTTGATGTTATATTTTAATTATTCCTGGAATTTCCTCAATGTAAATATACAAAGAAAGCAAATATGAAATATATTTATGGTAAACAAATATTAAAAATATTTGTGTGACTGATAAATATAAAAAAATATTTCAAGGTTAATACTTTTTTGAAAATCATATTAAATTTAATTTAATTCAAATATTAATCATTTATCTTAAATATACAGAATGTATAACATGCAACCAACTGGAACGTTTTCTTGGTTAAGATGGACTTTAAGGCCTAAAAGATCAGATCGAGGCTATATCTCAGCATTTTTATTGTTAATTGTTATTGCCTTAACTTGCACTGCATTTGCACAATTAAGATGGTTTAGAATACGAGGAGGCAAGGTAAACTAAATCAATAAAAACACTTGATTTATAAGTGAAAGAAACTTTTAAAAAGCAATATTGTTGTTCGGCTTTATAATCTTGTTATTATTGTTGTATCCAGTAAACTCTTATTGCTTTAATTAACTTAAAAGTTTAATTAGTTGATTAATTTAATTTATATACAAATAAGGGAAGTCATGGAATCGTTACATATGTAGCCTATAACTCTTAAATGAATTTTTATTAAGATTTATTCCTAATATACTTACATTTTTAGGGTCACTGTGTCCCATCATTACGTTTATCACAGTTCTTTAATCTTGATGGGTATTTTGATGCATCTTCAGACATGAAGGGATCTCCAAACAGTCAGGAATTTGATTATGGTGGACCAAAAGCACTTGCCTTATCTGGGTCATCCATCGAATTTGGTAACTTTGGTGGTGATGTATTTGCAGCTCCTGTGACTGTAGCATATTATTCAAGTAGTGGAGGTATGATGATTATATTTTTAGTGTAAAAATTCAACATACTTATGTGTTTTCTTAATAGTTCTGTCCTGTGTAAATCCACATATCGTAAATCTGATGAGAGTTGTTATTTTACTCTGTGCAATGGTATTAGTATTTTCGGCAACAGGTCTTGTTCTTGAACTAGGTGCACCAACAGGTATATATTTGGTAATATTTTATATGTCTGTGTTTGTTCAATTTTGTTTCTCATAAATGTTACAAAAAACAGGACCTGCTTTGAAACTTCTCAGAAGAAATGCTGTCTGTGCCTCTTGTGTTGTATTAACCATTGTGTCAATTATTGGTGTTTGTTACTGGATCACTGTTCAATTAGAACTGGCTGCACGAGGACTGTTAGTAGAATATGATGATGGATGTTATGTTATGACAGCAGCAGGTTGGTATATGATGAAACTGTTACCTAGTCCAAATTACTTTTTTAATTATCAATCAATTAGATTCATATTTAATCTTAAGTTATGTATTATTGTTTATGTTGTCTTTCTTAAGTTCATCTAGTGATATTGTTTCCTGATGATCTTCGTTTTTTTGTTAAGCCTAATAAAATTAAATTCAGAGCATTACAATATATGCGCTAATTCATTCTTGTAGGAGCTGTTGCTATACTTTCTGCGGCTGTGACCCTACTACAAGCAACTCCTAGTTCTCATTACAACCTACGTCACCATCCTGATGAAGTACAAAGAAGACATTTAGTTGATTGGGAAGATTGGGATGGTTTATCAGTTCCTACAAATGTGGACCAAATAAATCAAAATCACATTGTCGGGCAAAGTGATGCAATGCTATCCACAATGGGTTTTGCAAGGGTGAGAAGTGAATCAGATAATAGTAGTGATATGTCTGCTCCACCACCGTACACACCTTAGAAGATTTTCTTATGCTTTTATGATAAATATTCAAATTCATTCGTAAATAGCGCTATTGGATGCCTCAAGGATAGCTCTAGTTTTGATAGCTTTTTTTCATAAAGATCTATTAATTTACATTATCTAAATGACTGAAAATGATAAACAGTATAAGCTGATTTCTTGAACATTCTGAAAGTATAAAATTCACAAAAAGATGTTATAAAAATTTATGATTGAGTTTGAGTAATTATAAGTATCTATAATTAAAATTCAGATTTCATTCAAATCATTTAGATTTAATTGCAAAAAATCTCAAAAATTCAGCTATTCTTATAGATATCCTAAAATTCCTTTTTTATGTATTTATCCATTAATAATTTTGATTAATGATTAATTTTCATAACATTTAAAATAGTAAATTGCTAAAAGATCCAGCAGGAATTTCTAAGTATAAATAAAGAGGAGAGCATTAATTTTAAATTACAATTTTTTTAGTAAATTGATGGCTAAATCACCTTTTATTGAAATAAAAATATATTTATTATTTGATCATTATAAAACAAAAAATTCTGGTAGTGGAATTCTGGAGATTTTGCATAACATTGGAATGATAAAATATCAGATTATCAAAAATAGCTTCATATAAATAGCAATATACAACAAAAATATAAAAACCATATTGTGATGAAAAAGGGTTAAGTGACTCTCTGTTGGGGACAATAACTGCAATAAAATATATTTTAGCATCGCTATTCCCAAATCTAAGAGACCATCTTTGTACCTTTAACTAACCCTCTAAAATACTTGTAATTACCTGGTTAGTAATAGGTATTTGCTATGCGCCATTTAACACTTAATTGTTTTGTTTCATTTTGGGAGTAATTGGTAGCCTGTAAAATGTCAATCAATATACATTACAAATTGTTTACTTATATTGTTTATAAATCAAACAGATCTCAATGAACAATATTTGCATAATACTGTTGAATGGTAAAATTTGTCTGGAATAATACTATACTTTTTTCCTTATAACAAAAAAATTTTATCACAAATTTTATCAACTTAGAAACGATAATATAATGTATCATTATTAGTGATTGATTTATAATGACTTACCATCAATGCATGCTTTACGTAAAATATTTGTTTTTATTGACAATCTTGAAAAATATCAAAATAATATTTTTATTTTATATTCCCGGTGTATAATAAATAAATAGGGTTGCTCACGTGTGCTCTTCTATGTAGATAATGTATAATGTATAAAGAAATAACTACCTATTTTTACTGTGATAGAAGTTGTTGAAAAGAAATACTTTCATTAAACGTTTTAGAGTTCTAATTGTATGTTCTGGCTACAAAACCAGTTGAGAAACCATATCCTGTTATTGTTCATGAAATGTGCCTGTGTGAATGTATATGAAACAAATGTATAATTAATCTTTACAATTATGTTAAAATATTTTAATATTTGTGTTGATCATCAATTGTTATAATTCGTATTTCAAAATTAGCAGTTGATTAAAATTAGTGAATCATATTGTGGTATTACAAAAAATACAGCAGCAAATTCAAAGTATTAAGGAAAGAGGTCATATTTTCTGAATGACATCATCAATAACATGTTTTCATGTTATAATAATCATATTCTAACAAGATGAAGTAATGAATTCCTATAAAAATCATCTTATGTTGGAAATACATATATTAATTTCAAGCATCTGGAAATTTTTGCCAATCACCAAAATTATAGACTTCATCACATAAAATTTGGTGATAGTTTAAAAACAATATAAAGTAACAGTTTATATTTAATTTAAAGATCACTTGTTAATTGACACCTTGGAAATATGAATTGCGCAATAGAAACCAAATAATTACATTAATAATACAAACCTTAGCTTAGATTTTTTTTTTATTATATGCATTAGATGTGGTAAAGTAAGTGCTTAATTGCTTGATGTTATTTGTGTAAATTTAATAGCTTGTGAAAATATGCTTTTTTAGTTTAATTTTCTAATATTGTGTTACATTTTCAAGAATGAATGAGGTTTGAAGTGTTAATTTTGATCGATTGTAATTTTAGGACCATTGACAAATGTAGAATACACCAAATTATTTATGATGCAATATATGTATTTATAATATAGATACACATATTGTATACGTAATAAGATATAAATATATTGTCTGTATATCTAAAAATATGTGTAAGAGTTTATTTTGGAAAAAATATGATCATGTAAATGAAAAATGTAAATAAAACAATATTAACTAGTTTATTTTTTAGTTGAACTATTTTATTCTGCAAGTAACTTACTACCGAACTTTTGCTTTTCAGAATGCCTACAATTTTAGCTAAAAATATATTTTGTATACATCGCTATGAAAAATAAAACAAAGAAGCAAAAAAAATTACTACATTATAAATTTGGTAAGATATTGAAGATAGTTTTAGGATACATGAATCCGCAATGGCTCTAGACAATAATTTGTATTTCATAATTATATAAATATAAAAGATTCCGGACTTTCTTTTGCTTAATGTGCAAAACTGAGTACATTTATAGTGTCATATTATATTTTAGAAAAATTTCTATAATCATCATATAATTTCAAAAGAAGCTTAATTTAAATTTGCGAGCCTATCTTAATTATATATTACATACTTAAAATGTAGAAAGGCATATCAGACTTAATTGAACATACATTATAAAAATATATATTTACATATGCATGCATACAAACACACAGACAGACATTCCTCACACAGTTAAGTATTGTGGCATAAAAATATTACACAAAATATATTTAAAACATAAATAATTCACTCATAACTTAAATTGTTAAACCCCCACCTTTTATTAGACCTATATCATTTACCGTTGTTGCAATCATCTTTTGGGGCACTCCTCAGACTGTTGAAGTCAAAATCTGGCAATTCCAATGGGGCTAATGTTGGCAACTGTCTCATTTTTCCTAATTCTGGACTTAATTCTGAGCAAGGGCTGATCACATATGGAGACATTACATCACCAATTGAAGAGTCAGACATTAATTTTAAATTATCGGTTTGTGATTCAATAACAGCATTTGGTACGTTGTCCTTATCAGTCACACTATTATCAACTACAATAAAAAATATAAATAAAAATTAGGAAAAGCATCAATCTGTAAGTGAAATAGTTTCGTGACAAAAATTAGCACAGTTCATGTGTCTTATTATTCTAGTCGTGAAAAATTGTAATTTGAATTGAAACAATAATAAACACTCATTATTTAAAAAAAAATAAAAGTCTCACAACAATTTTTGGAACTATATCAGTATTTCATTTCAATTAAGATACAGTAAACTATATTACAATATTACTTAGAAAACATTAATAATCAAATTGAGATTAGTATATAAATTGAGATCTTACCTTGATTATTGTCAGTCTGTTTAATATGCTCTAAATTGTGTTGTTCTTTTTGCTCAAGAATTCGAATTCGTTCTTTTAACAAATCTGTTTCATTAGATCTGGCATGTAATTCATGTAATAATTTATCAATTAAGTCATGGAGTTGCTTATTTAATGTGCGCAGTTCTTCTATCACTGTTTTATCATCTTTGGGCTTTTTAGTGCCTTGAAAAAAATTATAAGGGTTAATTCTGTATTATAGCCACATATTGGTACACATAAGTATTGGTAATACACTATATTATTTTTTTAAAAACTATATGTTATAGCATCAGTATAAAGCAATAAAAAACATATTATTTATTCAAAAATTCTTGTACAAAAATTACTTATATATGAAAGTCAAATACATTGTCAATGTTCATTTATAATAAAAATTAGTAATACTTGCCAACAATATTAGAAGCAGTTCCACAATCAGTTTCATCGACAGATTTTTCATCCCAATCGCAAACTTCAACACTTTGAGTGCTATCTGAGTCACTTTGACCATGTCTTCTTACCAACAATAAATCTAATAAACTATCAGCATCAGTAATATTTTTTAAAATCTCTACTTCTAAGCCATTTTTATCTTCTTTCCCAGATAAATAATTGGAGGCCAATTTTGCTTTAGCTAATTTTTTCTGCTGCATTTCTAGAGTTGCTTTAAAATTTTCGTACTGTTGTTTTTTCTGTAAAATTACAGCTTGTTCTTTGACATGAAAGGCTTTTTGCAATGACATAGATTCTACAGCTCGTTCAACTGTTGTTAATTGTAACGCTTGATCTAGATATTTAGCTGCTTTCTTGTGACATTCAATTGCTTCGTCAAATCTTTTGTAGTGAATATGATTTTCTGCTTTACGATGTTGTTTATGTGCCTGACAAAATATGATACATTTTCAATCTTTATTTTTGTTTAATCATTTTTATTAATGCTTAAATATACATAAGAGAAACTAAAGTTGTGAAGATAAACATACCAAATTTAAGGGAGAATCTTCCATGTTTTTACTACAATATAGTAACACGATGCATTATTTCAACGTTTAATAAATTCTAAAATATTCACAGATAACATATAAATAATCGTAAACTTTTTATATTTCAAAAACAGCTAACACTTAACACGTTAAGTGTTAGTATTGTAATTTATTCTTGTTTAACGTTTGACAAATATTGTGCAACATATTTATATTGCCAAAAACATATGTATACAGATTTAATTTTATATAAATAGCACACATTGATTGGTATTACTTTTTACGGAATCAAATTACATTTTCATTCATTAATTACAATTATTTCATGGTATCAGTAACAAAAACAGTTTTATTTAATATTTTTCGGAATTTTTGACACATACGCATTCAACTTAACACGAAGCTAATTTATGATAATATCACATTTCTTTGTCATACCAACATACGACGCTCAACCGAGAATAAAAAAAGTGTAACAACATTGAAAGACAAAAAACCTATGTGCGTCAAACAAAACTGTCAAACAAAAAAACAAAACTGTCAAACGTCAAAATAGTACACCCATTGTTATATTGTCTCTCACCTCTCACATTTAGACACCTTTTAGACAGTTAAATAGAAATCCCAAATGTAAGTATATAATTATTTACGAAAGCGGTTCTTTTACATTTACATGGTCATACATTGTCTCTTCACAACCAATATTATTTCAGGGAACCAAACATATAGTTATTCAAAACCTAGTACAGTTTTGTTAGAAATTATTAGGAAATTTTTAATTAGGGCTTCGCAGAGTGTTTTAGTGTAGTTATTTTATTTACCCAGGTAAATGTTATTCAGGTTGTTTTTGTTTGCTTAGTGTGTTTTAATTCTATTGTAGGGTTCACTGAATTAAGATTAGGACTTCAGCCTGAACATCAAAATAGCTACAAGAGTCTTGTAGCATGTAACATCTGATTATTAGAACTTAACTCATATGTATGCATGTATATATATATATATATATATATATATATATATATATATATTAAATGCTAGCATATGTATAGTAATGTAATAAACTTAAGTTCAGTCCGATATTTTTGCCTATTTTTATCTTTAAGTGATCTGATTACTTTTTCTAACAATGATTAACATAGGTAATAAGGAACACAATTAAAACCATCTATTTATTTCATCAAATATTTTTATTCAAAATATATACACATACTATTTACAATATAAAGCATGTCACAGGAAACATGTAATAAATAATATAGAATAAATATAAATAATATAGAATAAAATATAAACATTGAAATTAAACATAAAAAAGAGAAAAAAATTGCATTTTGAAGAAATGATTAGCCAAACCAAAGTTAAACCGAACAATAAATGAAAACTGAATTTTAAAATTTAAATGGAAGTATGGACAGAAACCTTGTTATATAACTTCCACCAACCGAAAAACCGTATTTTTTGTAGAAGTTATTAATAAAACAAAAATGTATTTAGTTTTATAATCATACAAGTCAATTAAAAATTTACCCTTGATATGTTCTTTCAGGTTCTTATCTAACGAAATAAATTTTATATCTTGACTGTGTCCCACATGTGTCTTCCAAAATTCAACATGAACTGTTCCATTGTGATTAATAGTACAACCAATCCTTGATGGGCAAGCATATCCGGTTTTGTTGCTCGTTTTAGTAAACAAGCGTACAGTGGGTTTTTGGTCATTTGTATATGACCTGTGGCAATCGAAATAAATTGTCTTGTCATCAGTTTTTGATTTATATCCTGAATTGCATTTTACATAATGCGAAAACTCTTTCCGCTCTATGTCCGTTTTCCACAATTCAAAATCTACAAAGTCAAAAATGTAGGTAATTGTGTAATTGGGGTTATAAATTATGAGAGAGAAGACTTCAAACCTTTAATGTTTTGAAACACAAACTGTTCATAATCAATTGTAGTTTTGTGATAAAACTCAATATGATCGTATAAACCTGTGTACCTAGAAAAAACAGAGGAGCAGGGAGGGAGTGGACATCTTATTCTGGATTTCCTTGATGGTGTACCTACAAAAATGATTTATATGTAACACAATAATAAATAAAATGAATGTACATATATAAAAGCACTACATACCTGTAAAATTTTCCTTAGTACTGATTGGGGAACAGGGAATGGGAGGCGTGTGAATTTGAACTTTAATAGAGGAAGTGCAAGGATGCGGCAATAAACTTACGTGGGGATGTTTGTGAAGAGGATCTGATGTGGGTGATAGTAAATTGTAAGGTGATGTCAAGCATGTAGTAGTATATGAGGTGGGTAAAGAAGGATGCTTTATATTTGTTTTAGTGGAGGAGGAAAGGTGTGTAATGTCTTCAAAAGATACCGAAGAAGATTGGGCAGGTGAAGGGTTAGGGATATTATTATGAACTTGGCTCACATGACGAGTTAATAAATATTTAAATTTAAAAGTTTTAAGGCAGAAAGCACACGCATTGGGATAAACAGCTCTTGGCTCTTTGTCATGTTTTTGTCTTATGTGGCGATACAAGGAGCTACGAGCTGTGAATGGAATCTGACACTCGGTACAGAAAAAGTCGCTGTCCATGTTGCTACATAAGTAAAGTAATAAAGTGAAATATAAAATAAAAGTAATGAAGGTAATAAAACGTAAAGAAAATTAGAAGCTAAAAAGTAAATGTATAATGAGTAAAATCTAAAAATAAGCTTATAAAATAGAATGTAACCTAATGTAAATGAGCAAAATCTAAAAATAAGCTTATAAAATAGAATGTGACCTAAAGTGAAATAAAAGTAAGTATCTAAATAGTAAAAATATGAAACGAAAAATAAACTTACGCAAGCTAAGTAAAAATCTAAAAAAACACGTAACTAAACTAAAGAGAAACTTACGCAATCTAAGTAAAAAATCCTAAAAAACACTTATTGTAACTATGAAATATGAAAAATAAGCATGAATTATAATAAGAAGCTTACTAATAGAGCAAAAAAAGCAACGCAAGGAAAGCGATCCAGAGCAAAAAAACGAAAAACCGAACCGAAATATGTGAAAAAAACTGTTATAAACAGAATTAGAAATAGCAACAGAACGAAAGAATTCTAATTACACGAAAAGAAAAAGCAGAAAATATAATAAAACGCTTACTTGAAACGAAACCGACGCGACGCTATACCATCACAAAAATGAGAAAAGAACGCGGGACTAAATATTCCACGAAATGACAGGTTATGCCATACATAAAAGAAGAGTTATGCTCTATCCCGGAGCCAACTTCAGAGCGTAGGTGCTTTTTAAACGTCAAAACCCATCTGTCACGTATCAGAATTTAGTGGCTCCTTTCAACTTAACCTCTTCGAGAATTAAGAACATGTCATGGATACACATGGATCGAGATATAGAGTACAGTGAGCCAACCGCAAAATGATGAATAAAAAGCAACCAGTTAATGAAGTAAAAAAGCAAAGGAAATTAAACAGAAAAAGAATTGAAAATGATCTAATGATTAATTAAATAATAGTGAACTACATTTACTGATTTACACAATGTTAATGCGCCGCAAATGTTTATTTATCTATGCCGCAAACCAACAGTTTTAGCACAGATATACACTATGCTATTTTATCTAGGGATATACAAGTTTTAGTTTTTAGAATCTACACAAACTTCCACATGGCGCTACTATTTCATAATATTAAAGCTGTCAGAACACATTCAAGTTGTCAGAAAGAAATAGCTTACTTTATATATCAAATACGTGCTACTTTTGACAAGAACAAGTCTTGATTTATCTTTACAAATGTTTAACGACGTGCCCAAAGTATATTCGATGCATTTATTTCATCTAGCTTACATTGAAAATTTTTAGGTTACCTTCAAGATGCAGCCTACAAATAATAAATTTTCAACTTGGGATCAGTTGCAAACAATAAAAACGTTCGACGACGGTATATATGCATGTTCAGAATAAGGAAACTTTTATATTTCTCAACAAATAATCTGCATGTTTTATTTATTATTATTTTTTTGTCGATGTGATATAAAAAATCTAAGTAGTAATGTTAATAAACATATTATCATTTTTAGAATCAAGTGGTAATGTACACCCTGCAGTAAAGTCCGAAATTATCAGTTTTCAAAGTAAAATTTCCACACCTATAAGCCTTCTAGTGGAATCGTTAGTCCAGCAACTTTGCAAACTTTTAGAGCAAGATGATTCTCGAGCTACTGATTTATACCACACAATATGTAGAAAATTGCATCAAATGAACTTGATAGATGAAACTTATTCCATGGGAGAGTTTGAAGTGATGCGGAGCCAATATCAAAATGCTTTATATCAACTGGTTACAGTTGCCAGAGGTTCTGATTTACCCATAAAGTCATCAATTTGGCCTTTATCACAAAGCGCTGCACTTGAATGGTCAAGATATTATAGGGAATTTGATGAAATCAATTTTATTGCTGGAGGTGGTTTTGGAAAAGTGTACAAAGCGCGCCATAAATTAGATGGTTTAGATTATGCAATAAAAAAAGTATGTATTAAATCTTCAATAGTAGGTAATGTCATGGCACATTTATCAGAAGTTAAAACATTGGCTAGTTTGAACCATACGAATATAGTTTCTTACAAAGCTGCATGGCTAGAACCATTTTTAGGCAATAAGGACTGTAAATTAACCTTAAAAGATGAAACAAATTCTGAAAGTGATTCCACTATACCTAGTCAATTGCACACAAATTTAACCGAGAATAGTTCATCTTCCATATATTTTGAAGATCCAGAATCTTTAGAAGAAAGTGAGAATAATCATCAAAACCTCACTGAAAAATCATGTAAACAAGTCTGTATGTACAACTCACAGTTTGATCTAAAAACTAATAAATTTGTTGATTTAAAATGGGCTACATTGTATATTCAAATGTCTCTTTGCCAAATGACCTTACGACAATGGTTGGATCAGAGAAACAAAAGTGATATTGATAAGTTTTACATGCATTATAATAGTGTAAACGAATGCATTCAATATATAAGCCTACCTCATCCTGATTCAAACGACTCGAATTTGCTGCATATAAAAATAGTAATAGATATTTTGAAACAATTATCCAAAGGTTTGAGTTATATACATTCCAAGGGTATTGTTCATCATGATATAAAACCCAGTAACATATTTATTGGTTACAGTGATGGTAGTATTAACATTCAATTAGGTGATTTTGGGTTAGCGTGCCCATTGAAAAAAGTACACACGGATAATGGACTTGGGACACCTCTTTATGCAGCACCTGAACAACTGCGTGGAGAATGTGATATAAAGGTAATGTGAATTAAAAATTTTTCTATAAATATATATAGATAGAAAATATATGGATATTATTAATATATAACATGTGTTTCAGAGTGATGTATATAGCTTGGGAATAGTTATGCTTGAATTATTGCAACCTTTCAATACTGAAATGGAGCGAATAGAAAATCTTAAAGCGTTAAGTAATGGAATAATTGATGAAGATATAAAAAAATCTTACCCAGAACTTACAAATCTCTTGTTAAATTTAACTAGAAAAAGTCCCGTCCAACGCTGTACTACTGAAGAACTTTTACTGCATTTAGAAAACATTTATACCTGCAATGAGAATTTTGAAAAAGATAAAACCATCAAAATATTAAAAAAAGAAGTAGCAGAGCTAGGTGAGAAGCTTAAGGTCAAAGATAATGAAATAGAAACACTTAAAATTATCATAAATGATCTTAAAAAGAATAAATGAAGATTGTTTATTGAATTACTTAAAAAATGTGGTTTTGATTATTATTACTTTGTATTAATATTTAATAAATTTGGTAATAAATTATATAACTGCATAAATTTTGTATTTCTTGAAAAAGAGTTCTTGGTCTTCATAAACATTAATATTAAATATTTTGTGCTATTAGAACTATTAATTTCATTAAATTGATATAAGGGCAGTTAGTTTTGCTTTCTCATAAAATCTATTATAATTAATCAATATCAGGTCAATCAATCAATAACCATAATTATTTATATAGAACTTACATGTTGGTGGCTAAATATCCTAAATCGATATAAAGAGTTTTAAGGTATTGAGGACAGGTTTATGTTTATCTCATTGTGAATGCTTTGAAATTAAAATTGGTAAAGTATGTGCTTACCTTAAGGTAAATTGCCACTTACAGCTAGTTTAACAATCATGCTGAAAGCACTTTTTTTAATTTACAGTAAAACCTTTTTTCCAGTATGTTTATATATTTAACAGATATGTAAATATTTACAGTTTATAGATATTACATGTATATATGCCATCATAACAAAAGAAGAAAACAACTGGACAATCACATTAAATTCAAAATTTAAATTAACGTATTGTGATATGTCATCTAATACGCATGGCACAAAAAAATTTAAACTACTAATTGTTAGGCAAATTAATAAAAAAAATATACAAATGCTCAAACCATAAGAAAAAAATATATTTAATTGTCCTAGTTGTATATAAACAATTTATTTTGTACATATTTTTAAATATAACGAAATAAATATTTTTATAATTTATAAATTTGTACTAGCACAGATTTAAAAGCATGTGTATAATGAGTCAAAGTCAATTTACAATTTTTCTAGGAATATTTTGAATATACAGAAACTAACATACCTATTATGACTGACAATAAATGTCATTACCCCAATTGCATTCACTCGACTACTGGAAAAATTATATTTCAAGATTGACTTATTGTATCACTTAAAACAATTTGATATTGCTTATTGAAAATGTTGAGAAAGATATGTACAATATTTATTTATTTTTAATGTATGCACATACAAGCACCAGGCACACACATTGACTCTTAAATGTACAAAAAGGGATCTCCATTTTATGCATATATACTTTCAAATCTGGTGTGTTTTTAACATAAATCTTTTAAATTCACTTCTTTGTGAATTATAAACTACGTCATTATTAATTTCATTAACAGTAAATTTAAATATTGCAAATAAATTTATTATTTCTTCCAAGAATACAACTCAAACTTATAGAAGACAAGAAAAATATTATCACTGGGCAGGGATATATTCTAACCATTTATGATTAGAAAATACTATAAAAAAAATCTTTTTAATAAAAAATATTACTTAGTAAATAAATATGATTGTTGTATATAAACATATTAAACTTATAACTTCTAGCATAAATATTTAAGCAAAAAATAACTTATTGATAGATTATGTTTCGGTGAATATCTTGGACTCAAAGATCAATCATTTCACTGTTTTTACATATTTGAAACTATGTACACAATAAATCTATATTAAAAGTGAATCCATCAGATTATATTAATTATTAATTATTAAAACAAGCTCCAGTTACAATCAGTGTTCACAAAATCAAATATAATAAAAAAAAAAAACTTATATTCGTCAGTATCACCAGTAACATTTTTTGATTCAATATTTCTTTTTAAAAAACAACAGAAAAACAATAAATACAAACTTACGAGCCACTATCAATGTGTTTCTTGGGACATGTAAGGTGACAACAACATATAAAAAACAAGTGCCAATAGGGGCGCTATGTAAACATAGATCATTGTTCGGGATTGTCTCATAGCACTATCATAATCCATTTGTAATTTTTCTATCTGATCTGTAAGTGATTTATTTTTAGCTGATGTGTTAGCAAAGCTTTCTTTAATTGACATTAGTTCTTCTTGTAATTCTACAACAGGATCAGAAAGAAACTCAAAATCTTTTTGAACAGAATTTTCGAAATCCTTGTATTCTTTAGATGGTGTCTGTGTTTCCTCATTACCAGTGATGGCTGTGACTTCAGAAATCACAGATTCAGTTTGGGATGATATATTTACATTGGACATTACCTGTAAAGATGTAATGAACCAAATATAGTTTGTATACATAATAAACTAAAAATAGAGTATTTTAATCAATCTCTTCCTAAATGATTTGAACGAAACACAAATTTGTAAGAATGTGATAATAAAAATGCATTTCAATCATCTTATATCAGTTATACTCGTACATCTTCATATATTTCAATAATTTGATGCTTTAATTCAAGAGACTCTTTTCTTTGGTCCATGGTTGTGAAAACAAATAATATATTGTGAATACACAAACATCCATATATAGAAAATATCAGACACAGAAAGTATGAAAAAATGAATTAACAGAAACAAATTGATCACCATTTGTGATAATGATTAAAATAATAGTTTAATCATTATGTAAATCTAGAAATATAGATTACAGCAGTACATATTATACTCACCTTTTCAATAACGGTATTTGTCATCATTTCATCTTTGAGCCGTTCTAGACTTTCATCTTTCTCTTCAATGCGACGTCCCAAATCTGCCACAAGTTTTTCCAACGAATGACTTTTGTCTCCAGCAGCCTGCAACTTTTCTTGTAATTCACGCTCACGTTGGGCTCTTTCATCCAGGCGGGTGAGGAGTGCGTCGCGTTCAACAGTTATCTTATCTAGTTCTGCACGTTGAGTGAAGCACAGCGTTTCCTTTTCCTTGAAAATAGAAACAAAAATAGTCAGATTAATATCAGACTTATTTACTTTGTACTTCAACCTCGAATAAAGCAAGACAAGATAAAAACAGTATGAAAATAGTATGCACTTGCAGAACTCTCTTGCATGTCTCTACTACAAAATTTTAATTTAGTTTACACAAAAATATTTTGGAGTATGATGTTAATATGTTTTACAAATATATTTTTTCCATAAATATTTCAAAATCCATATAAATAATATTTATTTAGCTACGTCTCTTCTACAAAATTTTAATTTAATTTTCACAAAAATATTTTGGAGTGTGATGTTAATATGTTTTACATAAATATTTCAAAATTCATATAAATAATATTTATTTTTATAAAAACTCACCTGTAGTGAATTGTGGCTAGGCCTGGTCTCAAGTTCTATTCCCAGAGTTTCTAGCTTGTGATTCAGATCTACAATTTCAGTTTCATAAACATGAAGCTGACTTCTGCAACATTCTAGTTCATCTCGTAGTTTTTCGTTTTCGGTCAACCATTCTACAGGACTCTTAATTGGTGACAGCGAGTCTTCCGGACCGTCGCTAATCGGCGATTCAAATTTAACAGAAATGTGTTTCGGTTTCAGATCATTATCGTTTATTACACTATTATTAATATCAGTGTTTATCTCGCTATACTCTTTCAATTTTTCTTTTCTTCGTTGTTGATGAGTCTGCAGAGATAATTACTATATTAAAGTTGTAATTACATTTCTATAAATTCATGCTATAGCCATAATTGTCATTGAAAAAAAAAGTAATATTTGGTGCAAGATCAGATGATAAATACGCCAAATTTATATTAAAAAAAAAAATTGGCAAATTTTTAAGTAATTATTACATATACACAAACTATCTTAAATTTTATATAGAAAATAGTTAAAACTTATTGAATTGTTGAAAAATATTTGAAATAACTATTTTTTTTAAATTTACAAACCTTTGAATTGTTGTGAAATGTTTGTTGTAAATCTATGAATCTTAAAACTTTCATGATTAATAAGTACTCAAAATTTCCCAGTACAGTAACAATATAAATTTTATAATAACAACTTGAAAAGGCTAAATTAACATACCACAAGAATTTCCCTCTGAGCTCTTAATTCCAACAAAGCATTAGATATTTGCTCTACTGTGTCCATCCATTGTGTATTATCTAAACCTTCTTCCATATCTCTATTGTTATCCAGATCTGGATTTGTACTTGTCTGGTCAATAAATGGATTGCCACCAATATCACTATTGGTTGATATTGTATTTCGGAATATATCTAGGGATGGTGGTATGTCTGAATGTCTACTATTATTGCGTTTGTTCATTTCATCACTGCTGTGATTGCTCAGTCGAATTGTGCTCTCATCTTCAATGTTATCAATAATTGTCATATTGCCATCATCAGACAATTCTGAAACATCTAAAGTATAATAAAACAATGCACATTATGTAAACCAAAACTGTGAACATAGTTCTTAAAAATATTATTCACTTATAAAATATGAAAAACAAATTCATTTATTATGTAAAGAAACAACAACACCATAGAAATAAAGTTAATAATAAATAAATTTCTTGTAATATCTATAGAAAATAAGAAATTAAATCATGATTCCTATGTATAGATGATAAAATATTCAAATCAAATTGGATTTCTACAAAAAAGTAGTGTGCATATATATTCCATAGCATAGTAATATGCAATCAATGTGTTTCAGAACTCAGTAAAATTACCTACTATAATTATATTTAATATTTAAATTAAAATAATTTACTGGCATTTGAAGATTAACTTTGAATATGTAAATATTGAAATATTTAGCAGTTGAGGCTGTTCAATGACTATTCTATTTGAGTAAGAATTACCTGATGAACTTTTCTTCGAATCACCAGATATTGTTCCATTTTTCACAGTAGTAAGCTCTATTAGTCTTCTTTGTAAGTGATCTATTTGAGCATCCATTTTCGATATCAAACTATCATGATTATTCTGATAGAACTCCTAGAAGAAATATTATATTGAAATTGATTTGCAAATAAATAAATATGTAGTTTTTAAACTTTAATTTTCAGGATTTTATTATAAAATAATAATCATTATGATAAAAATAAATACTTACATTATCTAAAACATCTCCTTCGCTTTTGGCTTCATTTATGAGATTATTGCGCATATTCGACTAAAAATATAAATGTAAGTTACAAAATTATATACATCTTAATCATATTACATTTTCTACAAGATTTATTTTTTATTCCATAAATTTATGGTAACTGCTTAAATTAATTGAATTTACCTCGTCTTCATAAATGGAAAGTTTAGCTTGAGAGCACAATAACTTAGTTTGGCATATGGTTTCCTTATGCCTCCATTGATGCAATTGAATTTTTAAAACAGAATATTGTGTTCTTAATTGTTCAAGTTTTTCACATTGAGATTGCAAATCTTTTATTCGACCCTGAGATGCAATTACTTGAGCAGCTAATTCCTGCAAAATAAAATTAGGATAAATGCAATATTCAATGGTAATTTATAATTTTATTACTATAGTAATATGTTCAGTAAGAATTAATTGAAGTGTTCAATTTTGTAATAATTATACAAAAGTAATTTGGTAAATACCTGTAACTCATCATTAGCTCTATCGAGTGCTCTTTGTGTATTATCTTTCTCTTCTTCAGCTGAACATAAAGCAATTTCCAGAGTAGAGCATCTTTGTGCTGCAGCTAATTTCTCTTCGACAGCTCTCCGCAATGATTCTTTAGCAGCTTGCTGGTATTTTAATTTGTCATCAAGTAATTGAACCATTTCTAGACGAATTTTGTCTTCATCTAGTAATAAGCAAAAATATCATTACATACAATTTAATTCCTTGCATATAAACTTTATTTTAGTGCAATGCAAACCCTACAAATGAACAAATTTACCTGCATTTTTCATGTAAACTTTTAGTTGACTTTCTAAGGTATCTATTCTCGTTAATAATAAATCTTCTTGAAGGAGGCAATGCCATGCTTGTTGGGCCAAATGTTTTGTTGATTCAACTATTTTTTGCAAGTGGCCTAATTTACCTTCCAATTGTTGTTCTCGTCTTGTAGCTTCCTAATATTTAGAAAAGAAACCATTAGTAAGATCTATAAAATGTAATTAATTGTGTTATTTTGAAGTATCAGCAAATCTTGAATTTGTTTAATATGCTTCAATATATTGTAAAAATAATTTATTATGCGCAAATAAAAAAATTATTAAAAATTAAAAACTCTTAATGCACATTAAGGTTATTTCATTATAGTTTAAGAAAACCTTACTTGTATGTACTGATTGAGCTGATATAATTCCACTGCGCTAACAGAGCCCACATTGCCAACACCAGGCTGAGTAATAGCAGCGATTTGGCTGCATTTAGCTTCTGTTCCATCTGGTAAATATAACTTCAGGGTTGCTATAATACACCCATGAGTTACCTAGTAGAGATAAAATATTGAATTCCTAATTATTAGATTAATTAATTAAGTTTAGGACATAATAATTATAAAGAAGGTAATAAAATAAATATAAAAGATGATATACAAGACAAGAGGAAGAAAATAGATAAAACATATTTAAAACAAAAACATATCAGCACATCCACAATAATAGCTATTATATCTAAATGATCTGAAGTAAGTCTGGCATATAATAGATTATCTAAAATAAGCAAATATGGAAGTGAGTAAAATAATAAATGATACAATTTGTAATACATTATTAATTTACACTAAATAGAACAATTTGCACATGTTTATGTATGATAAGTTATTTTAATCCTCTATCTGTAGTCTATTTATTAAAGTGTACTAGTGCACAATTCTTTTATAGATGACATTAATATTCTAATTAACAAATTTTAAATAATTTTATTAGAGATATCATCAAAAAATATTTTAGTTTTACTCACTTTTTTTGTATTTTCAATCACATCAACTCCAAACTGCACAATATCCCCAGAGCAAACTTCATGAGGTTGAGATTCATCTCCTCCTAAACTAAGTCTCTGATTATTTACAAATGTTCCATTACTACTTTTTGTGTCCTAAAAGAAATGCAACAAAATTTGAATAAAATAAAATTAAACAGAAATTAACATTGCATTTGCTTCTCCTTGAGCAATTTTTATTGAAATATTGATCAATATAACTTTTCAAAATGTGGTCTGCTTTGTTAACTGAAATCATTATTAAATGCTCTCACAGTGAAACAATCCTGATTTATTATTATTCTATTTTTTAAGTAGAATTTTAAGAGTCTTGCATATCTTGCAACTCAAATTATACAAAAGATATATTCAAAAAGAATGTATAAAAAGTTGATCTGTTTGTCTTGATAATATACAGATATAGTAAAATAATTATAAAACTCTGAAACTAATTTATTTTAACATTATACTTACTTGTAAAAAAAACTTTCCATTTTCATACCAAAGCAAAGCATGATTTCTTGAGAGTACTTTACATTCAAAAATTGCATTTGTGGGCATAACTCTATCTCGTGCTACAGATCGACCTATTTTTACTGGCTGTGATAAGTTTAATGTTCGTTCCTAAATGCATGATGGTATATAAAACATTAATTAAAAACATAATATTTGTACAATATATTGCTCATTTTTGCCTAAGACTTATTTTAATGAAAATCTGATATTTATGAATGAAATTTCATAATGCCATCAAATTAATTATATATATATATCAATACAAGAGACAAATGCAAATAAGATTAAATGATTACAAACGATTCCTATAAATGTTAAATGTTCTTTTGTTTTTACCTGAAATAGATGTGAATTTGGACGGCATAATAGAGTAGCTTTTGGATAATCAAATTTATTTTGATCGCCACTTATAGGAGGGCTTGACATTGTGCTGATCTGGTTATTAGAAAAATTTTAAATTCCTGTTTATTCAACATGTGATCCAACTGTTGATTTTATAGTGAACATCTATCACTGGCATACTCTACTACCTAATAATAAGATAATATAATTTAGGGCAAGTGTTTCGAATAGTTGCTTTTAATAGTAGACAGAAATACACTAATTGCAAGGTATGAGAAATATAAGAGTTATAAAACAAAAATTTATCTCTAACAGTTCTTTTTCACTGTTATTATTTAGAATAAACAAACAATAAGAAACACAACAAACAAAAGATTTATCTACAGACTTTATTTAAAAATGATGAAGTAAAAAAAAAATGATTTGACTTCTACATAATGAAAATTTTCCAATTATGATTTATTGGTGTGATAACTAGATTGAACTTACAGCTACACATTTGGAAATGGAAGTTTTATTATGAACAGATATTTTCATAGTTTAAAACGTTTGTCATATATGACTATGTTTCGTTGTATATGACAAAGTATAATTTAGAACGCATACTTAAACCAATTTAAATTCGCTTATTAACATTTAATAAAATAGGCACACCTTGAAATTTCCATCATGACATTTGATCCATAACATAGATCTGGGTACAAGCAAATTACTACACAACAAATTTTAACGTACAAAAACTATCACTGTATCACATTAATTTCGAAAAATAAAAGAGTGTAAACAATAATTTTGAATACTTAATCAAATTCAATTTTTTAATTTTTTTATTTGAAAAATATATTGATACATAATGTTTTGAAATGAAGTCAGAATGACACTTACCAACGCCATCCAGCTTATCACTATGAAAATCGGAACATGAAATAATAAAACTTGACAGTTTGGAAATAATTATTTATGTATTTCATTTAATTAATTATCACTAAAACATTTTAAAAATCATATATGCTTTTATTTACGTTGGTTTTGCTAAAAATGTCAGCGGGACGAAATTGACTTAGTTGGTTGATAGTGTTGGCAGCTTGGTTAGAAATACGTCAAACAGAACAGGACTTATGTCACCAACATAATCTCCTTTTTAGGTTATGTTACTATTTCAAATATAGTTTTCAAATACTTTTCATTATGCTTAGAGAAGATTCCAATTCATAATGAAAGAACGTAATAATGCATAAAATTACATATGTTCTATTTAGATATATATCATTTTATTACTAAGTTTGGAGTACTAAATATTACTTTAAAATGTATAAAACTATGGTTCTAGTTAAGTTAATCAGAAGTAATAGTTTAAATTATGTCAATAAAAATGTAGTTCATTATATTTCACCCAATATTAGTAGAAGGTTTATTTATAATACAGTTAAATTAAAAAAGAAAGATGAAAATAGTCCAAAATCATTAATTCCTAAATCGATATTTGATAATATCGATGTCAAAAATAAACAATCTTTTCAAGACATGCTAACTATTTTTGAAGGTCGTGATATACATAGAAGAGGGCACGTTGAATTCATATATGCAGCTCTTAAAAACATGAAAGATTTCGGAGTGCACAAAGACTTGGACACATATAAGAAATTAATAGATATACTGCCTAAAGGCAAATTTGTAGCAAAAAATATTATTCAAGCGGAGTTTATGCATTATCCAAAACAACAGCAATGCATAATAGATCTATTGGAGCAAATGGAAAATAATGGTGTTGTTCCCGATTTTGAAATGGAACAAACATTACTAAACACTTTTGGCAAAAGAGGTTATCCTTTACGAAAGTTTTGGCGAATGATGTACTGGATGCCCAAATTCAAAAATTTGTCACCATGGCCTTTACCAAATCCTTTACCAGATGACAGTTTGGAATTAGCTAAAATTGCCATTAGACGCATTATGTCTGTTGATTTAAAAACAGAAATATCTGTGTTACATACATCTGATGTTGAAGATTCATTGGATAAAACTTGGATAGTTACTGGGCAAAGTCCTGTTCAAAAGACTCTATTAGAAGAACATGATGTTAGCCAGCCAGTGTACATTGAAGGTGCTTTTACAATATGGTTGCGAGGAATCCGTGTGAATTACTTTATATTAAGAGCAGAACCAAAACCTAAAGTTGATGTCAAACCAGTGGATGAGGATGACGTAAGCAATTTGGAAATTCCATTATTTTCACCTTCATCTAAGGGGCAATTATCAACAAAAGTAAGATCTGTACATGAACAAGATGAAGGTACGATTTTGGCAGTTTGTGCAACTGGTAATTCAAGTAGAGATTCATTACTTTCATGGATTCGGTTGCTAGAAAAAAATGGTAATCCAAAATTAGCAAATGTTCCTATAGTATTTACTTTGAAGTCTCCAACAGTAGAAGAGGTACCACAGATAGAATCTGGAGAAATTCCAGCGTCTGATATGAGTGACAATAAATCTGAAAAGTCTCCATAGTGGAATAAAACATGTATCAATACAGAATATAAAATAAATAACAAATTGTACAGTACACAATTATTTTGATTATTTATAATAATTTGAATAACTTTTATGTATATTATTATCATTATTATTTATCAATTTAAAAATGTAGACTGTAGTGTCATCTATGAACGAAGATATCATTTGTCAATGTTTGTGCAGAGCTGTCAAAATTTGACATTTGCAAGAGAGAAATAAGATATCCTAGACAATATAATAATTAGATATGGTACTGAATTGAATAATTAGAAAAATGAATAATTAGATATGGTTAAATATTTCATAAATTGAATGAATGGTTGACAGTGAATTTAATCCAAATCAAGAAATTTGAACAATAGTCATTTCATAATGGTATTTAAAATATATGATGTGTAGCTTATATACAGAATTATAAATAACTATTTATTATTACAGGGAATGACAGCTGAAGAAAAAATATTATTTGAGCAGAGGTGCCGAACATGTTTGTTGCAACAAGGTCAACATAATATATTTGAATCATCAAACTGTATAAGAATTGAATTACTTTATTTGACAAACCTAGAGGTAAAACTACCTTTTAATGTTTGTTTTGCTAAAATATTAAACATCATATGCAAATACAAAAGTATCCATAAATTTGTTTTAAAAAAAGTATTTTGTGAGTAATTTATTAATGATCTATATTCGCTGAAGACAATTTATGACCATAATCCATTATTTCAAAGTCAAATAAGCATTGAACTTATAAATCAATCAATATCTAGCTAAAATATTTAATACGTTAGTCCACTTAGAAGTTGTAAGTTTTTAATGCAGTTTATTTATCATAATTATTGTATCAATAATCTATTGATTATTGTAAATATCTATTGATTATTTTTATTTATTTTTCAGATTCAAAAATATGACAAACTTCCAGTTAGCATTTGTGATCATTGTTTAAATGATTTGAAAAATGCATGCGCCTTTAAAAAGAAATGCCAAGAATCTTATTTTACTTTGATAGAAGAATATGAAAGTTATAATTTTAAGGTAAGTGATTAGTCAAAATTTATATAATTAAGAATTTAGATTTAAATATATATATATATATATATATATATATATATATATATATATATATATATATATAGTAGAACCTCGATTATCCTGACCTCAGTTATACGGATTTGCGATTATCCGGACTACCAACCGTGACAGAGTTATATGTATGCACATACCTACAATTCGAATTTTTGCACGATTTATGCTGCAGTTTATATGCATATAATATAATCTAAGAAAATATATATGTTCATACATAAGGAAATGTTAATTTCTTATTAAACATTGATTTTCATTGATATCTATGTATGTATTTGTTATTTTTGATAAATACACATCATTATTCTTCATACATTGGATTATCCGGATTTTTGATTATTCGGATGCCTCTCGACAACATATATATATATATATATATATATATATATATATAAGTATATATGTTATAGAATTTTGTTATATGAGTGGAATGAATATTGTTCATATTTAACATTTAATATATATATATATATAAAAAGTATCCATAAATTTGTTTTAAAAAAAGTATTTTGTGAGTAATTTATTAATGATCTATATTCGCTGAAGACAATTTATGACCATAATCCATTATTTCAAAGTCAAATAAGCATTGAACTTATAAATCAAATCATGAAATATATATATATATATATATACATATATATATATTTGTTATAAGAAAGCTATTCGTAGCAATTCCAAAATGCATTTCAAAATTTTTAAAACAATATTATGTAATCTTGCAAATGATCAAGTTATAATGATTATTTATATTGGAACTCATGCACAAAATTATTGTATTTGTTGATAATAAGGAATTAATTATTACAAATTTTAATAAAAATTATTCTGAATATTTGGTAATGGCTATTACATTACTTTATTTTCAGAGTGATGATTCAATTATAGATAATATAAAAGTTGATCCAGAATTAGAAATTCCAAAACATGAAGTTTTAAAAACACCCCCATCTCCCCACATTAAAAGTGATGATGATTATGGCAGTTATCCATCTGATGATGAAAATGATTTAAGTTCATTATTAGAACCACAAATTATTGTTCAAGAACAGCCTCTCTCCCCAGATCTTATAACTACAGAATTGTATAAGCATGAAAATATTCTCAATGAAACGTCAGAAAAACGCAATGAAGAAATAATTGTAACTCCAGATATTTGTAATGTTAAAAAACATAAGAGCTTGAGACCACCTGGTAAGCGTTACAAAGGAATTTATGAATGCTCAGTGTGCGGTAAAAATTTTGTCCGCGCCTCAAATCTTAAGGCGCACATGCCTTTACATACCGGAATTAAAAAATTTTCATGTCCGGATTGTGATAAATCATACGCCACATTAGATCATCTAAAACGACATCGAAAATCACATGAAAACAAAGTTTCGCAACAGAAAAAGAAAACTCAGTTATCTAAAAATAAACCAAAAGATAAGGAGTACAAATGTCTAGAGTGCGGTGAAATATTTGAATGCGTTGAACATTTGAAGGACCACGTGTTAGTAAGCCATAAAGTCCAATTGGAATTCCAGTGTACAATGTGCGAAAAATCTTTCGCATTAGAATCTCATTTGAAAATACATTTTCAATTACATTCAGGCGAAAAATCTTACAAATGTGACGTCTGTGGGTTGATCTTTAGATCTACACCGAGTTTAGAAAGCCATAAATTAAATCATGTGGTAACACTTCCTGGTTACCAATTTGCCGATAAAACGTAGCAAATTTGAACATTGTTCTACTTAATTTTATTAATAAGTTAAATAATATTTTAATGACTAGATAAACAACAGTTTGTTATGAATGACAGAAATGTGTATATGAATCATAGAAATCACACTTTTTTTCATGTGTTTTATTTTTAGTTAATTAGTTTTATTTTATGATTAAAATTCAATTTTTTATAGTTAAATGATATAAATCGAATAATTGAGATTTGCAAATGATACTAGAAATCCGTGCCTTTTTGGTTTTAAATAACAACTTCGACAGTAATTTAGGAATTTAAATAGAACGTTTCCAAATGTTGCGTTTACTTATATCGGCTGGTAAATTATGTTTTTGTTATAATCAGGAAATAGTTGGAATTTGTATTCAAAATTATTATAATTTTTCATTTATAATTATTATTAATTAATAAATGCCATAAGTTACATATATTCAGTATCGTATTTATGTGGCGTTTGCCTTCCAATTATATAAGTTTGCATTTTTTTTATGAAAACAACACCAATTTTTTTCTTCCACTTAGATGTCAACTTAGAATTTATGATAAGTTGAGCATAATTCGTTCAAATGTTTACCTGATAAGTGTACTAGGTAAATTTTACGTATATTCTAACGGTATATTACTGTTCGGTATCGTAACTGCTAAGATCTATTTTAAATAATTTTGCTATATTTTTAATTTGAGTTCGTTCTAACTTTATAAAACTGTTTACAATACTATTTATATAAGTTATAAATTTAAGGTAATGTGGAAATTAAAAAAAAAAATCAAAATGTTATGTAGGAAGGTATCATATCTCAACAAATTGGTTTATAGTTTCAATAGTACTGTATGATGATCGATATAGTACTTTATTATTATCGACTAGAGTTATATCTTAAATATGATCTGAAAGATAATTAGCATTAAATTATTTATAAAATAAAATTATGTTATTATATATAAAATATTTATTTATAGATTTAAATATTCTAATTATGATATCTCAGACTGATGCTAGAATTAACAACATAGTATGAATATTGATGGAAAATGAACTTTTGTTATAAAATTATTATAATAAATATATATATATATATATATATATATATATATGTGTGTGTGTGTGTGTGTGTGTGTGTGTGAGTATATATTTGAATTTAAAGTCATATTTTATTATTTGCGTTTAAACAATTTTTTTTATTTGTCGGTTTTGTCATTTCAAATTATTGTTAAATTAAATGAAACAATAAGTAAGTACGTAATAAGTAGGTAAATAAAAGTCTAAAATAATTAAATTTTTGTTTTATTCGGGTTATATATTTAGCATTTTCTGTTTATTAAATTATAATTTATTATTATTATAATAACTTAAGTTATTTTTCGAATTTCAAACGTGATTATATTTTTTCTAGATTGAAAAAACTAAAAAATTATACGGGCTATAAAAATAATTAATTTTTCATCAACTAGGAAAATTCTTCAATTTTGGAGATAACGTTAAGCCAACATTTAAAATTGCTTGATTATTATTAATATGTCGATTTTTTTTATGAAGCACAGTACTTTAAATAGTATAAAACAATCTCTTTAATATATTTTCATTTGCATTAAACTTTAATATTTATTAATAATAATTTAATGTCTGTACCTGATGATGATTGTGATATATTTGTATGGTTTATCGCAAATGTGCATCAGTTTGCGGTGACTATATAATTTTCATCACCGTCATGTCAGAAAATTTTACAATGTAAGTTATTCTTTCTTGTCACATTTAAAAAAAAAAACAGAAAAATCACCTTTGCATAAGTGGAAAATGTGTCATTCTGTTTCTTGATAGAAAAGTGTGAATTTGAAGTAACATTTCACTTATAATGCCTCACCAAAAAATAAGTGTACTTCCAAGTCGTAAAATAGAAATAAAAGAACTCACTTTGGCGGAAGCGTGTAGGCCGATAATTAAAATTTACAGGTGATTTGGATATTAGTTATAGTGAAATTAATAAACTGCAAATCATTTTTTTATCTGCGCCGATTGATTTAGATTTTTTGAAATATCTCCAATAACCACAATGCAAATCAAGAGCAACACCGGGCTTATATTTACGACTAGAGGATTCAAACTAAAATCATTTCTGCGATTTTTAATGCTTTTACTTATTAGTATGGCTCCTTTACCTTTTGATTCACAAACGATCTTCTGGACCACATTTGAAGAAGATCTGACAAAACGTCTTAACTATACAGTAGAAGTTCTATTTTTGCCAGTAATTATAGTATTCAGTTATTGGAATAATTTGAGATCTCAGGTAACGTCAGGGAATTACATGCTCTGAAATAATTCTGCTTTAACATGCTACAAAATAATTAAGTTTTTTGTTAATTTATATATTTGAAATGTTCTTGAGACTAAAGCTTCCTTTGTAGTAATTTCATTATCAGTTTATTTATAATACATATTTGTTTATGATTATTATTATTTTTATTTTAACAAATATTTTGTGCATCTTTTAGATTTCTGAACTATTTTCATATGAGTTTTAAATTATTTTCATAGCATAATTTTGCTTGAAGTTATGCTGTCTAGATTAAGGCACATGCATTTTGTTAAGGAATTTTTTAAAGTGCACTTCCATAAAATTATATTCTAAAAAAATTCTCACACATAAACTATTTATTTTTAAGCAACTAGTATGTGGAGTTCTTAAAGATTTTGAAAATATCGATATAGTCTTTGGAGAGTTTTGTTTGAAGGTCAACTACACGCAAACAGAATTATTTTCCAAGAGAGAAATTATATGTCTTGGGCTCATAACTCTGGCTAAACTTGCATTTCGGTAAAAAAATTCAACCATATTTTATGTTTTATCCATAACTTGAATATTTTTTAGAAAAAATTTTGCTCAAAACTATTTATAAAAGCTAAAATTTTAACAATAATAATAATTTTCAAGTATTCAACCAAATATTCTGTAAATAGATTGAAACGGTTCAAATGTTTAAATAATGTATTATGTTGAATCATCGAATTATTAATTAAACATTAATTACAAAAATAGACAATCATACATTTTTGCAGGACTCAGTGTTATTCTTAAATTAATATCCAATATTTACTTCAGCCTAATTGTTTTTTTTATTCAGGGTATTCAACGATTATGACAGCTATAATATATTTCTAAAAATATTTTCCTACGATTTTCATGATTTAATGATGTGGTTAGTGATGACACAGTTTTACAATCTAATATTCTTAGCGGAACAAAGATTTTTGCAGATCAATAATTGTCTTAAAGATGTTAGCAGATTAGGTTACAATCAATCAGTAATATTATCCAAACTTCGCAAAATATACGCAAGGTAAGGAATAAAATTATTTACTGATTTTATAATTGAATAATAAATATTAAAAAAATACTTTGATAATATATCCAGTAAAGCGCATTTCAAGAATCGTTAAATAAGCAATCAGCACCGTAATCCAAGAAAAAATGGTTTTGTTCCCCTGCGCCAAAGCCAAAGACAGGCCTACGCTTTACTGGGTCTATTTGTAATTTTTATAATTAAGTCTGGCACTATAGGAAAAATGAAATATTATTATGAATGTGCGATTCATGAAATACCGTAGTTTTGTATATTATTTTTATATTTTTAGATTATTTACCCATTGCAATATTATTAGAAATGTGCATTCTATGCAAGTTTTGCTTGTAACAGCGGCAGTGTTTCAAAACCTTTTGTCCGAGACTTATTATATGTATCGACTGATTATCATATCGAAAAAATGGAATCTACATGTTATTAGACAATTTCTGTTTACTATCAAATGGATTTGCTCGAATATTACACTTTTGACTTTGCTGAGTTTGAGATGTAAACGTTTGATTAAACAGGTTTAATTAAATTTATTTCAATATTTCAGGATACAAAAGTATATTTATATACTTTTACCATTTTTATTTCAGACTGAAAAGTAGCAGTGCTTTTGCATACTTTAAATTTTGATATGCACGACTTTGCTGTCTCGAAAGAGGTAATCGCTTTACACTTTATCAAAATAAATAATATTATTTTATTTTTTCATTCAATATGATAATACAATAAAAATGATAAAAACTGAAATATTTTGATTTCGCTGTATATTTTGGATAAAATCATTTACAGATAGAGATATTTTCATTGCAACTGCTTCATGAGAAAGTTTATTTCTCAGCTGGAGGATATTTTAAAATCGATTCGAGCCTTGTTTATCGGGTATGAAAAATTAATCTGGAATTTTATTTACAAACATTGTAGCTTGTATTATTCTTTATCGTCTTAATCATTTGTTTTTATATCAAGTATTTATGATTATTTCAGGTCATAACAACTGTAGCTGTATACTTAATAATACTCATACAGTTTGATAGTTCTAAATGAAAAATAAATTATTAAATGAAATAATTGTATTTGCAATAGCATTATAAAATAAATAATGTATACGCTCAAGTGAATCACTTAATTATACATTTTATTTATCTATTTAAAAATAAAATTAACAATTTTTCTAATATTTATTCTAAAAAAAAAATCATAAAATATAGTGTTTGTGCATGATTTATTTCTTTATTATATAAAATAAAAAGATTTAAAATGTAAATATTATGTAGATGATTATTTTTGAACCTGCAACATGCATGTTGTTTGTTCATCTGTTGTACATGGTATTGCTATTGCATTTTTTAATAAAATTTTGTTGATGTATCAAAATTTTATATGAAATAATAATTAAAATGCTTTGTTTAGAATACAATTTTTTGAATAGTTTTTATTCGAATTTCCTGCTATAACTATAACGTTGGCACCACATGCACAAGATTTTCTACGTCATGGTTGACAACTGACAAGATTGAATAGCTGTGTCGTCCATCTTGTTTTTATATGGAAGTAGGTGATTTTGTTTAGATCAAAAACGTTGACAATTAATTGTGAAATATAATTAAAACATAAATATGGGCGAAGACAATAGGAACGGTAAGTTATCTCTTGCAGCTAATAAATATGTGATTAAAGTTCAGTACGGTTTGTAGTGAAATTTGCGATTTTTTCTGTCGGCGAGTGATATTTTGTCGCATTAGTTTATAAATATGTATTCTTGACTGTATTTAAACTATTTCTTATAAAGATCGTGATAAAGAAGGAAGAGATAAAGACAGAAGGCGTAAATCACATTCTAGAGATCGTCGGCGGTCGCGTTCCAGAAGTCGGGATCGCAGAGATAGGAAAAGAACTCGTTCAAAGTAAGTTATGCGCCATTAATAATATTATGATATTAAGCATTCAATTCGTCAAACTGCTGTATAAATCCCAACATGTAATGTATGGAAAACGGATTATTATTTTTTTTTCTAAAAAAAGAAACTAAATATTAATTAATTTCGAATTGAATCACTGCCACTTCATTGTTAAACTTCACATTATAGTGTTTACTAAGAAATTATTTGCTCTTTTTAATTATATATCTGCATTTGACAATCTTATAGCAAACTTGTGGCTGTTATAAGTGCCAATTATTATGGCTTTTCTTCTAAATAATTCCAATATTTTAGTTCACCGAAGAAATCAAGATCACGTCGTCGCAAGCCTTCTCTATACTGGGATGTACCTCCACCAGGGTTTGAACACATCACTCCTCTCCAATATAAAGCTATGCAGGCAGCTGGACAAATTCCTGCTAATATAGTAGCTGATACCCCACAAGCAGCAGTTCCAGTTGTTGGGAGTACTATAACTAGACAGGCACGAAGGTATGTTCTAGAATCTATGTCAAATATCTAGCTTTGTTTTACTATTTTTTGCCACCAGTAGCATCATGGATATTTTTTCTCTACTTTTACATGCTCCATGCATTAGTCTTTACTAGTTATTAAGCCAGCATAAATTGCTAGTTATTTTTAGTTTGCATTTAGTTTTTTTTTGGATATGCTCATTTTGATTAAACCATTAGTTTATTATTGGTATATACTAATGATTTGATTAGTGTATAAATACGGTACAAAAAATGTGTAAAGCTGAATTAAAGGTTTTTTGCATTTATTATATTATTTTTGTGTGAATCTTATAAAATATATAAACATTTATTACTTTACAGGTTGTATGTTGGAAATATTCCTTTTGGAGTAACAGAAGAAGAAATGATGGAATTTTTCAATCAACAAATGCATCTTTCTGGTTTAGCTCAAGCTGCAGGAAATCCTGTTCTGGCGTGTCAGATAAATTTGGACAAAAATTTTGCATTTTTAGAATTCAGGTAATTGTACTTAGTTACACTAAAAAAATTTCATATCTTATGCTTTCTTAATTATTTTATGACTATATGTTTTTTTTAGGTCTATTGATGAAACTACACAAGCTATGGCTTTTGATGGAATAAACTTCAAAGGCCAGAGTTTGAAGATAAGGAGGCCACATGATTATCAACCAATGCCTGGAATGTCTGATAGTTCATCCATTAATGTTCCAGGTGATTATTTGTTAATTGTTAATTTATTCTGTATTAATTTATATAAAATGATTTCTTATATGCTAGTAAAAATTTAAATCTTAATTATAAGTGATATGAAAAATTAAACAAAATGTTTAGTATAATTAATCATAGGGCGTATACATTTGCCATATTTTTTTTTTCAAATGGATAATTAGAGCATTTTCAGATTATATTAATTTTAGAACAGCTTGATCCAGTTAACTAATTTTTTTTTAATTTTTCAGCTGGAGTGATCAGTACCGTGGTTCCTGACTCTCCACATAAGATATTCATTGGAGGTTTACCAAACTATCTAAATGAGGATCAGGTGGGAATTTCTGCTGTTTTCAAACATTGGATGTTATCGAAGCAAGCGGATTATCCGCATATTTTGTTCTATTTTTTACTTTAAATTTTCAAGCCAATAATCTTTTCACTTACTATTGACAACCTTTCTCATATGTCGGTTAATTTTTGCCATCATATACCAATAATACCATAAATGTTATTGACCACAACTAATTTGTTTTCCGTATGATTTCAGATTAGAGTTTTAGCTCAGATTTTCGCATTTAGAGTAGCTTCACAACGGGCACACTTACAAGCATGGTCTCCATGGTTGTTTTTTTATTTTCAGATATTACAGATTTTTCAGATAAATATTCAACTTTTCAGAAAAAAATTTCAGCTCAACGTATCGTATGTAAATTCAATAATTATTTAATACGATGTTCTAAACATCTTTTTTAATGAAATTATTATTCAATCTGATACTGACATTGTCCTGTTTTTGTAGCTTAGGGCGGTGTTAGTACGCGCTTGCTAAATCATGCTCGCCTGTAAAATTCAGTCTGGGTGCAAAAACCAAAAAAAATTCTAATATAAACATGTCCGCACACAAAATATAATGAAAAGATGAAACAGGCAAGTCAATGAATTTGCAGGAAAACAATCTTCTTTTCAGATAGCAACTGTGAAAGTTTAATTTTATTCACAAATTTTTTAAACCGGACACGCAAAATTGGCGCGATTGTTACTTTAACTGTGGATTATTACGTTACGCTGCAAACATATGATTAAAGTGTATTTGATATTACTATATGTTTGCAACATTTGTCTATAGCGCGATTTGTTTTTTATTTAGAACGTTCATCTTTTGTTTTATTCCCAAGAACACTTAAATACTTTAAATTTTTAATGTGTAATTTTTTGTGTGGTAAGTTTAAAATAATGTATTGTTAACTATTCCTCAATGTTAATTGCTTATAAGTATTTATAACGGGCTTCGGAGTAATTCAAATTATTTTGGAATATATGAATTTTAAAGATAATTTAATTTGATTACTTTAACAAGACCAAAATTCTTCTAAAATCCACATTTGTCACGATAAGCATAATTTTTTAAATGTGCTATCTGGCCTGATTGATAATTTTTGAATTTGTGTGATTTTAAATTTATATGGATCTCACACATATAAAAATTTGCTACTTATGTGAACTCTAAAATTACCATGGATTTTAGAATTTGGGTTTATATTTTAGGTTTTCAATATACACAATAATTTTTCAAACTAGTAGCAAAATTTATAGTGACTTATAAGTCAACCTTACTATAAATGCAACATATGTATAATTTGCCTAACTTTTTGTCAGTACTTGTCATAATTAGTTAATAGCATATTTCACACATCTTTTGGTTTTTAACATATTCACATGTCCTATGGAAAAATTATAGCGGACTTACATTCTGTCTGTTTTTTTTTATAGCTGTGGCTACTTCAGTATTATATAGTTGTATATTCTCTTCATAACAATTTTGTTAAATTGCTTTTAATATTGGTGAAGGCTGTTTATTTTGTAGAATTGGGTGGTTTTAATAGTTTTGAGTATTTTAATATGATTATGAAACAACAATTTAACTTTACTGGTTTTACTGTTCTGTCTTTAACATAAGAGACATCTCTAGAAGTTAATTGACTTCTTATATTCTATCTTGTACAATATTTTCATTGTGTAAACGTTTTTTTCGGCAAATACTTCTTTCAAAGACTATCAATTGTTTGCTTACTTTATGCTTTAAAATTATCAATCAGTCTTAGATATTCAGCACAATAATAACTTCTTCGAACGGTGGTTATAACGTGTTTTTTTATATCCTTATTTTTATTCAAATATATTATTTTTAACTAACGTCATATTCGGCTCTTGTTCGTGCCGATGTTTTCCATCTCTAGGTGAAGGAACTTCTGATGTCTTTTGGTCAATTGAGGGCTTTCAATCTCGTCAAGGACTCGGCCACAGGATTGAGCAAAGGATACGCATTCGCCGAGTATGTCGAGTATGGTATGACGGATCAGGTCAGTGATGTGAGTGATGGCCGACGATCAGGAGTGTGTGTTTAATGAGCGGGTGATATCCGTCTATCCTATATCTCCATATCCTAATTAATACTAATTATGGTATTAATTTTATATTGCAGCTGAATTATTTTACGAAAGATTGTATTTGGTTGTAGTTTTTTGATCATCTTGTTTTACTCACTATACACAGTTCATATTTTATTATATTTAATTGAAAGCTACTAAGTTTCCAATTTTATTTTGTTGATTTTTACAATAATGCCTACAATATTTTTCTCATTTTTATTCACATAAGATAGTAGTTATACATTTTCAGATATGTTTTGAATGTTGAACTATATTATTTAGAAATTTTGACATTTACATTTTACACTTAAAATTCATATAAATCTCGGAATTCGCGAGTGGAAAGTGGTAATTATATAGAATCACTTGGCAATGAGTGCTTCTAAATTCGCTTTATGTAACATATTACTAGGTAGTGGTAGTGCACCGCACTACTTTCATTATGAAAAACGTTTTTATTTATTTGTCAAAGTTTTCTCTTTAAAAACTTTTAAGATAATGTTTTTCAAAATATGCACACTAATGCTATATGTATTGCATTAGTTTGTATAATAAATATATCCCATCTATTCCCATTTTGCCTATCCTATCTTCTCAAAAGATTGATAGTTTGATTTGTGTGCGAATCGTCGGTCTCAAATTACTCATTATTCAAAATTATATTAGGTGTTTATTGCATGTTAAATTCTTGTGATAAGATTATTTCATGTACTTATTATTTTATAATATCTAATGTCGTAATTTTGAGAAGCACTCTTCAAATTTCAGTTTTTTTTAATCAGATGTTGTTTTTTTTTCTAATAAAGCAATTTTTCGTTGCATGAATTTTACCTACTCAATTATAACAATATTGCTGAAATCTGCAAAAACCATTGCTTCATTTTTATTCAATATTTTTGTTCTGAGATATTATCTTAGCCATGAAGAAGCCTTACATTTTTATAGTCTTGAAATTGCTCAATTAGTTCAAAGAAAATATTTTATGGGATTTTTAGTTTTTAGTTATGTAGCTTACATGTACAATTAATAATGAATAATGTTTTAAATATCTTGTATGTTACACAGGCTATTGCAGGCTTAAATGGTATGCAGCTAGGAGACAAGAAATTAATTGTTCAACGAGCTAGCGTTGGTGCCAAAAATACAGCAATTGGACAAGCCGCGCCAGTTCAAATTCAAGTTCCTGGATTGTCTATGGTCGGCACATCTGGACCAGCTACTGAGGTAAATTAGTTGATTTAGTTGCCTGAATATTAGTAAATGGTTATTTCAATAACTAATGTTTAATTTTATATTCAGGTATTATGTTTGTTGAATATGGTCACTCCAGATGAATTACGAGATGAAGAGGAATATGAAGACATTTTGGAAGATATTAAAGACGAATGTAACAAGTATGGTGTTGTGCGTAGTGTTGAAATCCCGCGTCCGATTGAAGGTGTCGAAGTTCCAGGCTGCGGAAAAGTAAAATTTCATTTATTATTTTACTAAATATTTTTTTTGTTAATTTTAATTTTTTTGTTTATTCTTTTAGGTTTTTGTGGAGTTCAATTCCATTACTGACTGTCAAAAGGCTCAACAGACACTTACTGGTCGTAAATTCAGCAATCGGGTTGTTGTCACATCTTACTTCGACCCTGATAAATATCACAGAAGAGAATTTTAAAATTCTATTGTTAGTTTATTTTAAAATTTAAGAAGACGAATAATGCATCTATAGGGCAATGTCATTTATATATGTTTAAAATGTGTATTGTGCATCCAGATGCTCATTTAATATTTTATTTATAATGCGTATGTGCACCATTGCTGGAGTTCTCTTAATACAATATAATTTTAAATAAAATGTTTAAATTATGATTCAATTTTTTGTATTATGAATGCATTTATGAAATTAAATTTGTTCATATTTTATCTAATAAAAATGTAATTTAATAAGATATGTAAAGTGGTATTGATTATTCTAACTTTTTTTGTGGGCACGAAAGCGTGCTATACAATAAGATGCCGAAGTTGTGTGAATGTATGAGTGTAAATGTATATATAGTATCATGGGATGAGGATTTTTTTTCGCAGAAACATTTTTTCTAAACTATGTTTTATTTAGCAAACAGATATGCATAATTATCTTATGAGCTAAATTTACCATATTATTATTGTTATGATTACATTGCGAAAATACTGACGAAAAATTTGGCACGTTATTAGTCAGAAAAAATCAAAGCCAATTTTTTTTGTGCTTATAAATTTTTAGAACCGGCGCAGCTATTTTTGACTAAACGTCAATAAAAGATAATCGGATTTTTTAGGAAAGATAAACTTTTTCTTAATGAAGTTAATAATTTCGTTTTTTTATTATTATATTATATTTATGTGAAATTGTTTTTTTTATTTATTATTAATTTATTCAATCATATTTTTATTTATTCTATAAGGAGCGATAAGATTTTTTCGGGGTTGGCCAAAATATTTTCGAGAAGACTATATCTAGGAGTTGATAACTACATAAAATAAATTACGTCTTTAGATATTTACTAATAATTTGTTCAGTTACTTCTTAACTATAATTTATCACTGATTAGCTTAATGGAAAAGGGCGCAACATCCACATTTGGATCATATGGTACGGGCATATGTCTACCACGGCTCATAATTAGAATTTTAATTTGAGAGCGTGAAATTGTAACAGACCGTATTCCAAATTAGGGTTGTTTGAAAATCATTAGCACAATATGTTTACTTATCTCATTTGATATGCAAGGTCGATCTTGTTAATAAATATGAATAATGCAAAAAATTGCATATAACAATTTTTATTAAAGGAAGTGATATTTAGAAATTATGTATGCACACGCAATTCTGAACCATATTGTGAGCATTTTAATTTTAGATACTTTTTATGTTCTGCTAAAAGGATCGTGAAGTTATAATAAATACGAAAACTGCTAATGGAGCAAGTTATCCAGGCCAGGATGACAAGTATTTAATACTTGATAGTGCTTAAATTTATAAATTTCAATATAGATTAAAAACTATCGAAAAATAATGACCTATTTTAGATTCAAATAGATAAAATAAACTGTTCAATTTCACTGGTCCGAATCCGATAAGCATGGGATGAGGTTCACATCGTAATTACGGTGATTAATTTAATTTAAGTGTTTTGTTCGAAGACGGCGATTGAAAGGTGTATTTAAAGTATAAGATGATAAATAAGATAAGATTTTTTTCGACATTTTTAAAGATTGACTATTCAAGAATATGTGTAAAAGAATTTTTAATAATTCAAATATTTTCGGAGGTATAGCTGTTTCACCACGATAATCCTCTGTTTTCTTGCTTCTGGAAGGTCTTAATTTAAACCTAATAAGGTACTAAGTTAACTTTTAGTAATTAAGGTCTTAACTTTTAGTAAGTAAGACCCATACGTGAATAACATTCTCTCCAATCTTCTAGTTCTTGCGGATTTTCCATCTATCTGATGGAAATATAAAAGAAATAATTTTACTATTTATTTTACGTACTGACGAATTAGTTCCGATGTTTGTGAATTGTTTAAATTTTTTTATAATCTTTGTTAATGTTAACTACTTGCCTATTTTACATAAACATAAACCGAAAGGATCTTATTTCTTCAATCAAAATAAATTAATTAAATTCATTGGCTCACATGATTGCCTACTACTCGATTTAAGATTACGTACGTTTCTTTCGAAATTTTCAAAGATTAACTATTCAAGAATATGTGTACAAAAGAATTTTTAATAATTCAAATTATTTTCGGAGATATAGCTGTTTGACCACCACGATAATCCCTCTCGATTTTCTTCTTACAGGAAATTTTAATCGCGTTTTTTCGAAACTGTCTTTTTTCCCACGATCTTCCAACTTCAACTGGACCGACTTACTTGAAAATTCGACTTTTACCATTTAAAAAAAATCGAGAATATCAAAAAAGATGTAATTTTTTTTATGCAGTCGCTATTTCGCAAAAAACAAACTTGTCTGTAGTTCATACGATTGCGATTAATAATATATAAACATACTTTTCTTCAGATTATTTGGAGTGCTGTAATCATGGGTATTGTGAGGCGCCAATTTTTTGAGACCCTGCCTTCATCAACTTCTAAAATTTGATAACGATTTTCAATTTGGATTTTTTTAATATATTCTCAATACATTAACTAATAACTTGCAACAAAAAATTAGTGAAAATATTGTCACATAAAATAGTCTAGAATACCACTTTAAGACCCGCATGGGCGTTTAAGTTAAGATCTTGACTTAAGCCTTAAGGTACTTAACTTAAGCCTAAGTTAAAGTCTTAACTTAAAGGCCCGTATTTGAACGTCTTAACGTAAAGACCCGTACTTGAACGTCTTAACTTAAAGACCCGTACGTGAATAGTATTCTCTCCAAGCGGATTTTAAACCTTTCTGTTGGAAATATAAAAAAAATAATTTTACCATTTATTTTATGTACCGACGAACTAGTTCCGATGTTTGTGTCTTGTTTAATTTTTTTATAATCTTTAATAAGCTATTTTTCTTAAGATTATAAAAAGCTTATTAAAAAAATAGCTTATCAAAAATAGCTTATTAAAGATAAAAAAAAAATTATAAGCTACTTTTAATTTTTAGTTTATGTAAGGTAGGCAATGCTGTTAACATTAACATGTTAATGTTAACAACATTGCCTATCTTACATAAACTAAAAACTGAAAGTAACTTATTGGCTTAAATGAGAGCCTGCTTATGATTCGATTCGCACTTAACTGCCTTCTTCTCAATAACATTTTGCGCATTCTTTTTAGCGACAGAAGTGTGAAGGTAAAGCCAGGTGTAAAGTTCTCCTCAACTCTTTTTTTCTCGTGTATAAATACTCATGTGTGAGCGATGACATTAGGACCTGAAATTTTATTTGGAACGGCAAAAATATTCGAAAAGCACGCGCCGCGCCGTATTGCGGACTCGAACATCTGTAGCATTTTTATTCACGGTGGTTTATCGCAGCTGTCGCCCGGCGACCCGATATACGATACGAGGACCTGTTTTGTTTACAGGGGCGAATAACCCTTCAACCAAATGGGTACATGGCACATATCATGTTATACCCAAATTGAAGTAAATTAATAAGTAAACTATAGATCTAACAGTTTTAATAAAAATATTTGTTTCTAAAACTGTCAACGTTTTTCTATATTGCCAATAATATATTCATGCAATCAATACTTGGTTTTATATTAACCCTGAATTTATTGCCTAAACTCCATCCATAAGATCCATTTAGTGTTGCACGGTATTAGTGTATAAATAATTTTACTAGTACTTGATATACTGATTCAAATGGAAAACTCTGTGAAATACCTGCTCTTTTAATTAAATTTCAGAATAATATCGGATTTGGGCTTTTTTTTTTATATATGATTTATTGGCTTTATAAGCTAGTACATTAGCCATATACTAAATTACATAATATCTACACTATCTCTTAAAGTCTAGTCTTACGTATATGTATATCATATATTTTATGTATATTTCTTTAACCTAAATTTAAGTTAGTCTATTAATATGAAATTTCGCCTTTGACAATAATTGCCAATCAAATCACTATGGATATTTTTTTTATTTTATTTGTTTTTCGATCAGAACAATCTTAACCACGTGACTATTTGAGAAGGCAATCCATCGTTTTTTTTTTACAAATTTTATTTTAGTTAGTTATTATTGAACCATAACGTTTGTAGTGTTTTATTGATTACTGTTATTGTATATATTTTTAATTCACAAAAATGTGTGTATAACTTAACTTAATTGACAAGTAATTCAAAATATTTATTTATTTTATTTTGCCATGTGATTTACAACCATACTTAGTGGAAAGCTAGTAAATCTAAAGAGAATATAATGAGTTAAATGACACAAGATAAATAAATGACAAAAGTAGTAGTAGCAGAGTTACTTCTACTTTAAAATATTTAAATTAGACTATCAAAAGAGTAAATTTATATTCTACATTATCTAATTATAGGTCACAATATAATTACTGTTTTATGTTTATTCTAAACTATCCATTCAAACTTAACTTCTTCCAAACTCGTGTTATAATAATGATAAAATTTATATTCATATCTTACACTGTGAATATATGTGAATACGTGAATACACATAATTTTATAATTGTAGATATTTTTTAAAAATTTGTTTCTGAACTGCACATGAATTTCTAATAATTATTATATAAATAACAACAGATTTACAAATTAAAAATTGAAATCCGCCTCAATCAATAAGTCTAGTATCTTTCTAGTGTTGCCATCAGGAAATATTATTTATTCATTCACATTATGCAATATTTTTGCCACCTTGAGAATTAACCATTTAATCTACGACTTTTGTGCAGAAGTGTATTGAATTCTAATTCAGTTGTGATAATCATTTCGTGCAAAATGATATTCTTTTTAGAATTGAATTTGCCAAAATAATGTTCCATATGTTTTTCTTGTTATGATTTATTTAATATTTAAAAACGATAAGCATTATAGTTTGCAAACTTGATGTAATTTAATAGCTAATTGATTTTTATGTCAAGTAAAAAGGTTTATTAATTTGGATCACACATGCAAAACAAAATGCTTTTTCCAATTAATCGAAATCGTAGTGTTCGCGATAGAATTGTCAAAATCGTTTCAAAATTTCCAAGTTTTTTAGTACAAAATTATTTGATCATTCGATGATCAATATTAAAAAAAATATAAACAATGTGAAAGAATTTATTTCAAGCAATTAGTGAAGTGGCATCTGATGGCGTTAGAATCTTATTTGCTGGAGTTAATTGGTTAGAATTATATAGGTGAGTGATTATATTTTTATATTAATGTGTATATATATATATATATATATATATATATATACATATGCGTATATAATAATTTTTTATTTTTCATTATAATTTTTGAGAAAAAGTCCGAAACGAAAAATCTTGAGACATCTAACTTGCTTAAGATTTTTATATTATATTTGAAAAAAATCCCTATTTATAATTATGAGCAATTTTTATGTATTTAATGTTTTTTGTGAAAAATACTGATATTTTGTTCTGCTTCATAATTTGCTAATGTTTAGTTAGGATATTTGAAAAATAATTTAACTTATGCTATTTTTATTTAAATATCCTATTTTGAAATAAGTATATTCGCAAAATTTTAAAAGCCATATTATTTGCCTTTGATTATATATAATGTATTCCGTGGTTCCTTCTCGACGTTGCATTCGTGCATAAAATCAACATTTTCATGATTATTTTGAAATGGTTTTTATGAGAAACATAATTATGAATCGATGTTTTGGTAATTGAATTTATACCGTTAAATAAAAATGTGTGAAGGGCGCAAAACACTTTCTCCCAATTATGTTCATTTCGACGATAACGCAATTAAAATTATTGACAAGAATATTACGCTTAAATTTATTCTCAATATGCTGTTATTTATGTAAAAGAAATTTGAATGATAATATGACAATAATGGATTAAATAGTTTGGCCTCTTGGATTTAAATATATACGGATTTCAAATTGTTGATTATTTGTTTGTTTACAACTAGTGATGTGTCGACTCGAAAATTTCTATATTCTTATGATTCGAATCATGATTATGGGATTCGTTTCAATTCGGATTATGCGAATAACTTGAATGATTCGATTTAATTCGGATGGCTTGCGTGATTAAATTCATTTTTTTATTTCTATATTCATATTTATATTTAATAAAATTATTTTTTTTATTTATTAAAATGATGTTCATACAGTATCACAGTGAAGATTTCTCAGCTAGATACGATTTTATTCGTAAAGTCAAATGTGATTTGAATCAAGTTGTTAAGAGTTTCAAGATATCAGTTATTATTACAACATAGTCGTCAGTGACAATACGGTAAACTGCAATTTTTTTAATTCATCTTGCACAATTATTTTCTGAATTAGGTTTGTGTCCCCTGTATATTATTGTCGGGAGCATATATCAATGAAAGGAAATTAAACCTCAAAATCATGCAGCCGGTTGCTGCATTACCAAACGCATACATGTGAGCCGACAATTACTTACGGAACCCCTAGAAATCCATCTGATACGAGGCGCACTTTTGAAATATTATTCACCAGCTACACATATTCAAAATTCGACGACCCGGCGTCACACATTTGCGTGAATACTTAATCAAATAATATGCTAATGCATGGTGAATTAAATTATAAATTTAAACCAAACTACATAATTTGAGAAATGACTAATAAGAATAAAAACATGGGCTGGCGATGCATTATTATATGACTACTCTTTTTTGCAACTTATGTGTATAACGGCCTAAATTCTAAACATTTTTGTCCTATGAATTGTTGGGCTGAAACTACTCCTTACTTCGTGTTTTAGATGGTTAATCCATCCATGTTTGATGATTTTATTATTAGAATTAATCTAACAGGGCTGACTTTGGAGCAGCAATGCCGGGTAAGTGCTGTTTCCAATTGGAAACATATTGCAATCTTTATTTCCAAGTGAAAACCGTTATCACTACTGCTTGACAACAGGCTGCCCGAAGTGGGTCTCGAACCCGGGACCTCCAAATTCAGTCTCTCTTGAACCCACAAGCGAGTCCTAAATTCTTAACATGATCTACAAAGATGTCATCATTGTATATCATGCAGAGGCTTCTTTCTTAATTTTTATTTTCTTTGCTTACTCAGGGCATTTATTCGGTTCCACATTTAAAATCTTTGTGTTTTTGGATTAGCAAAAAATTTTGATTGCCCTCATATCCGGACGTCCAATCACTGGATTGGCATTCGATTTAGTCATTTTAAGTACATACTACCAAAAATCTGCTAATGTTTCTTATTGGAATTGATGCAATAAAAATAAATTGATCTTTGATTGTCTTCAACTCAAATTTTGTCAATAATTGATGTATAATTCAAAACAAGAAACATATCTTTAAAAATTGTATATAATTGATATATAATTTTTTTATAATTTGTTTAATGAAGTTAGCAAACCAATCATTATCAAGGACAAATTTTAATCAATGGATATGGTAATTTGGATATCATTAATTTATTGTTATTATATTTGTTATAAATTAATTATAATTATGATTCTTCTAGTTTAGATAAAAAAATACTTAAGTTTCTTCAAAAATTCTTTATATTTTCGAGCATCTCTGATTTCGCCAAGCATTTGATTCAATTTCGTCAAGGTACATTATAATTTTGTGAATGTAAGTTTGGTTAGTGCGAAATCTTTCATTTTTTTTACTATTATCAGATGATTAAAATTGTGATTTATCATTGGGGATTCAATTTTATAACATTAACGAAATTGATTTGATTATTTATATAATAAAAACTAACTTGTTGAATGTGATTATTTATTTATTTTATATTATTTATAATTATTCATTTTATAATATTATTATTTATTAGTTTTATTATTTATGTTCACACTATGAGTCGCAAATAATAAACATTACTATTTTTACCCTTGAAAACAAATATGCTATCGAATTATATTATATGCAACGTTATCTTACAAACAGGTTATTTAATTATTTATATAATATACTTTCACAGAAGAACTCATCCTCACAATGTGTATAATTTCAAATGTCGTAAAATATAATTGCATAAAGTATGTTTTTTGGTGATGGCAAGGAACTGCTGAGTGTACTTTTACGAGCAATTCCCAATAGATTTAACCTATTTAGAAATATAATAGGAAAAATTAATTGTTTGCCATCACTACCACAGCTGTGCTTCTGATGGAATTCCTTTATCTTGCACAAAGAACCCATAATACATATAATACATTTATCTATGGTGCACACATATAGGAACCAGGTTCTGTATCCATTCATCCAGGGGTTAGTATTTAATGTTGTGGGTAATAATTGTAAGTTTTTTGTTCAATCTTTTTAAATTTGAATAAATTTTTACTGCCCTACAAGGCATTAAACAAAGAACTTTATAAAGGTTGCAGTTTTTAATTTTCCTTGATTGTTCAAAACCAAGTAATAAATTTCGTTATTATTGATAGTCTAACATAGGGAATGCAATACCGGTATACCGGTATACCTAAATTCCGGTAAACCGCCCGATTTTTCGGCGATATTAATACTGGTATCTACCCTAAAAATACCGGTATTTTCGGTATTTTTACTTTTATTTTTATGACTTTATACATATTAATCATAATAATTATTAAATATTTTTGCTTTCTTATTAGAATTATTTACAATTATTATTTTAAAACGTATTGCAGTTTGAACCTGGATACCATTATATTGTTTTAAATAAAAATACTCTCTAAATAATTATAGTATGTTATTATTTATATTCATTAAGTATAGGATCATAAATTAGTAGAAAAATTAATTTTTAAAGTCTTTAAAATATTTGAAATTATGCTAATTTAACACATCGGATACTGACAATACCGTTTATTATAACAATGTAATGTGATCTTTTATGAGTGTTTGATCTTTCTTACTCATACTTTTAATTTTGGTCAAAAGTACTCAATATACTCGATAATGATGATGAGTTAATTAAATTGAAAATAATTTTGTAAATTATTATTAAAAAAGTAAACTTATTGTTTTTTTTTATTTTTCAGTTGAATATAGTTGTAGTTTTATATATATTTTTTTATATTTTTACTAGTAACTTTCAATATTGTTTACATTTGTTTAAGATAATAAAAATACCGGTATTTTACCGGTATTCCGATTTTAAAATAAAAAATTACCGAAATGCCGGTATTGATATTTTTATACGGTTTTGCATTTCCTAGTCTAACATGCTTAACAAAAATTAAATTTTACGATAAGCAGAAGTTGGCAAGGTAACTATGATATTTTTGTTAAGCTGCATCTATAAGTGTTGATACAATAAGTATCTAATTAGAAAAAAGTGGTAAAAACGTGAATCTGCATCCATTCCTTCAGGGTTTCATACCCACTATGACCAGCTTGATAACAAGCAGTAGTGATATCAGATTTTCACTTTAGAATATAAATCCCAAATATAAAACTAAATGAAATCAGACTTTCGGGGCATTACTCCTGAGAAGACTTGTCCTGTAGTCACCAAGGAAACTAAAGTTCATGCCATAAAATTTTTTTGGGTACTCCAACATCCATCCTTGTGTGAAATTATTTGTAATTAGTAAACTCCTGTCAATCTAGTTTTTCATGAAAATATTTTTAGAATATATCCGATTATTTATATTTTAATCATGTTAATTAATTCGTGGCCCACCTAGTTTTATGCTAGCAATGACTAATGGCTTTGTTTCTTACAAATGTTAGTTTCGTGCAAATGATATTTAAGTTCTCACCATAATTCAATGATCAAACACCCCATAGCAAAAATAGTTATTTAGTATTTTGAATTGGAGTGTATGTCGAAAAGAATCATAATAAATAACGGTACGGAGCACGTGGCATATAGAATATAAAGGATCTAACCGTGAACAGCGACGAGAAGCGTGCCAGCAGGCAGCAGCCGTAAGCTGGTAGCTGATGGCTGGTGCATACTTAATAATAGTGAATTTTTACAATGATATTTTTTTCATCTGAACTTAGTTATCGATTCATTTGTATTCAATTAAAATTGTTGATTGTCGGTTTTGCCCGACAATTCTGATATTTATACTTTTCATTATTATATCCTTATTAATTTTTTAGGGCTTTTTTCTAAGATTAGATTTTTTTTATTAAACCATATAATTTACAACTGTTCTTAGATGACATCTAAGAGTGAATTCAATATAGTTAAATTATATATAATGAATAAATGACA